CTCCAGCATCTGCAGTTCCTGCTATCTCATATTTCAAACTACGTTTTGTGGTTCAGTTATTATTTGATTTTTCAATAAAATGTAGAAGTCATTGCATTTTTATTTACAACACAATTTTTGGTCTGTGTTAGGAATTTACTTATTCCAGTTGGATTTCCAATTGAGAGACCATGGGCAAGGTTTATTGTGAAGATTTACAAAGCTCAGGGACTGCCGAAGATGAATTCTAGCCTTGTGGCAAATGTAACAAAAGCACTCATGGGAGACAACAAGGATTTTGTGGATCCATATGTCATTGTCACCTTTTCTGGTCAAAGGGTATTTACTACCTTTCAAATATTTCTCTGTTTATTTGCAAGTTCATTGCATAATTCTGCAACATTACCAACAGGATTGCAACTTGAAATCAACTTTTGTTGCCTCCTATTTACTTTTATCTAACCTTATTCATTATTCATGAATAGGATTACTCAGACTTATGACTAGGATATTTACCATCTATTATGTTATGTTGTTTACGTCAAAATCAAAGGACTGATTTAGCTCTGGCTCACTGGCAGAATCTGGGCAGGTAGGTGGTTGAAATGGCCACCATGACATCTTGTAGGGTATAATGCTATTCTCTTTTTCTCACACTGAAAGAAAATTAGGCCTTTCTTTAAAAATGCATCTTGGGCCCAATGCCCCAGACCTTTAATCCGAAACCTGCGTGAGGAAGCTGTTGGGGTTTAGAAACAGCAGTAGGTCATTCAGTGTCTCAAACGATAGGCATGTGAAGAGAAAAAGATGAATGAAGACAAGTATAGGTCCCTTGCAATCAGTGACAGGAGAACAAAGAGTTAACAATCCAATTAAATACGTATTTTGGTTCTGTTGCCACAAAGGAGGTCACAAATAACATTATAAAAATTTTGAGCAATACAGGATATAGTGAGAGAGGAACTGAAGAAAACTAGCATTAATGGTGCTGGAAAAATGATTGGATTAAAGGCCAATAAACCCCAGGGCGCAATAATTTACATTCCAAAGCACTTAGGGAATTGACCCTAGAAATAGTGAATGCATTAGTGGTAGTTGTTCTTCCTCCCACCTATACCCTCCTCCCACCTCAAGCTGCACCCCCATCTCCTACCGACTAACCTCATCCCGCCCCCTCTTGACCTGTCCGTCCTCCCTGGACTGACCTGTCCCCTCCCTAACTCCCCACCTACACTCACCTTTACTGGCCCCATCCCCGCCTCTTCAACCTGTTTGTTTCCTCTCCACCTATCCTCTCCTCTATCCATCTTCTATCCGCCTCCCACTCTCTCCCTATTTATTTCAGAACCCCCTTCCCCTCCCCCTTTTCTGATGAAGGGTCTAGGCCCGAAACGTCAGCCTTTCTGCTCCTATGATGCTGCTTGGCCTGCTGTGTTCATCCAGCCGTGCACCTTGTTGTCTCTTAATGCATTAGTGGTCTTCTTTCAAGTGTCTATAGACTTTGGAATAGTTCCTGTAGATGGGAGGTGGGAGTTACACAATGAGTGTTGGTTAGCTCAGTTTGTTGGATGGCTTGTTTGTGATACTAAAAACGTGGGTTCAATTCCTGCACTGGCTGAGGTTACCATGCTATTTAATCAGTTTTTGTCATGAATTCCTGTATCACAGGAATTTGTATTCCTTCAGAACCCCTGAAAATATATTTCAACACAACGTGCAGCTGCTGTCCTATGTAAATTGGTAATCATTTAAATGTAACTGTTGCTGAACCCAGATCCAGATTCCAAAGGTGCTTGAATTTGGTTGGTTGTAGTTCCTTCAAAGGCCCACAGGAGATGTGGCCAGTGTCGACACGGACTGACTTCTTCTCTCGATTTCTCTTATGACAGAACTTTACCTTTACTGTCTCCTTCTGTTTTCAGGGCCGAACATCTGTACAGAAAAGCTGTGCTGACCCTGTCTGGAGTGAGCAGATCATTTTCAAAGAAATGTTTCCACCACTTTGTCGACGAGTCAAAATTCAGGTTTGGGATGAAGGAAATGTTAATGATGTTGCCATAGGAACTCATTACATTGACTTGAAGAAAATATCAAATGAACAGGATGGAGATAAAGGTTAAATCCCATTTGTAAAATTTTTCAGTTAAAAAAAAAATCAATAACCACTTAAAATTTTCATTGAAATGAATAGTTTGTCTAAAATGAAATCTGTTAAGTGCTCAATATTTAGAACTAAAATATATATCAACAGCAAGGTGGTGATTTGTTGTGAACATTGCTACCTTTTTTATTCATATACTTAAGATTTTGAAATGAATTCTTCAGATTTCAACAGATCTGCAAGCTGTACTTGTGGCCATCAAGAAAACAAAGTATTGACACTCATTACTAAATACAAGTTGTGAAAGTTATAAAGGGTGATTTTCCTCAGCTTTACTCTTGCCTCAGAATTGCACTGGCTGCCAATACAATTAGTAATTTGGGCACACCCTGTAAAAGTTTCCAAACATTAATTTGAATGGATGGAAGGTCGTGGAAAGTGTTACAAAATTGTCTGATCTGTGTTTCCGGTGGGCGAGCCTCCACATAAAGTGTACTATTTCAGAAAAACTTCTATACAGTTTGACTCTGGTCATAAAGTGTATATTTTCAGCTCCCTGAATAACAGGAAGGATTTTATTGACCCTCGAGAGGGGACACAGATGAAAAATTAGGACCTTTTTTTGTTGTGGACAATTTCCTAAAAGCTGTTGGCCAAATTCCAATTTGGTGATGGAGATGTGAATGAAGATGTGGGAGAAACAATTTTAATACTTTTGCTAGTAATTTGAAAATATGCAGTTCAAACCCTGCTGTACTTTCATGTGCCATTTTCTATAGTTGGCAATGTCTTAGGTCATGACCCTTCATATATTTCTTCTAATGTTGGGGCCACCATTGACAGCCCTATAGCAAATTTGGTTACCTCCCGTCCCTCAATATCCTTGTGTTTGGATGGCTCCCGGAAGAGCCAATTTAAAAAGTAACCAAATTGGCAAATTCAAGATCACTGGGGAAAGTGTGCGGAGGAGATGGGAGTATTCTGACCTTTAATTGTTAAATGTTTTGAGAATTTAAGATGTCACTATTAGATACTCTATTGTAACGTAAATGTGTTTGCACTGCAGTGATACATCATAGGGCTTCGTCAGCAAAGGTAAATTATCCATTATATCAACCAGCATTATTTAAGTGTCAAGACGCATTAGAGTACTTTACCCTTGGAGAAAATCAATCATGCATTCCAAATGGTAGGAAACTTGTCTTTCTTACAGTTGTGGCTGTGATTGAAATATTAGGAAATCCTTAACTATTAAAAAAAACTGCCAAGCTGTCGAAACTTAAAGCATTACTAACCATGTGCTCCATTCATTTGATTGATGGGTAATCAACTTTGAAATGGAACTGAAGTGCCATCTGGTGTTTCAGTTTCATTTCTTCAGGAGCTGCAATGGTTTTTTTTAAATACTCTGTTTATTGTTAATACTAATTTCAATTTCCGAATCTCCAGACCCACAATTCTAAGTAGGGGCTTTGATAGGTTTTGATTTGATGTTTTAAGAGATTATTAAAGGATTATCAATCCTGTAGTAAGTGAATAAATGTTTGTTTTACAATAGACTGACCACTTGAGGGATTTTTTTTAATGCTTTTATGAAGGAGAATTTTTTTCAGTATGGTGTATTTGGAGATTGATTTTGATTGATTTTATTGTCATGTGTAGTGAAATACCGTGAAAAGCTTTGTTTACGAGAGGTACAGGCAGATCACAGTAAGCAAAGGATGTAGAGATGAAAAAAACTTAGAGGTATACAGGTTACATTATTTGAGGCTACAGTCCAATCAACACTCGGCTAATGGCCAGAAAGAAGCTGTTCCTGAACCTGCTGGTGCGTGTGTTCAGGTTTCTGTATCTTCTGCCTGACGGAAGAGGTTGTAGGAGGTCGTTACCAGGGTGCAATAGGTCTTTGATGATGTTGGCTGCCTTTCTGCAGCAGCAAGCTGCTGAGTGTTTGGTAAGTAGAGTCCATGGATAGAATACTGGCTTTCGTGATGGTCTGGGCTGTGCACACCACCTTCTGTAGTTTCTTACGGTCCTGGGCAGAGCAGTTGCCATACCAGGCCGTTTTACACCCGGACAGTATGCTTTCAATGGTTATCCGTAGAATTTGGTGAGGGACCTTATGGACATGCCACATTTCCTGAGCTGCCTGAGGAAGGAGAGGCGTTGTTGTGCCTTCTTGACTGTCGCATCTACATGGAAGTCCAGGACAGGAGATCGGTTATCGTCACTCTAAGGAACTTGATGCTCTTCACTCTTTCAATCTCAGTTCTGTTGTGTAGATGGGGGCGTGTTCTCCTCCTTTCTTTCTGAAGTCAATGATCAGTTCTTTAGTTTTGCCGACATTGAGAGACAGATTGTTTTCATTGCACCGCGTCACCAAGCCCTCTATCTCCCTTCTGTATTTTGACTCATCGTTGTTAGATATCCGTCCCACTATGGTGGTGTCATCAATGAACTTATAGATGGCGTGCATTCCGATTTTGGCAACACAGTTGTAGGTGCACAGGGAGTACAGTAGGGGCTAATGACACATCTTTGGCAGGGCTCCAGTGTTATGTGTTACTGTGGAGGAGGTGCAGTTACCTATCCTCACTGATTGCGGCCTATGGGTCAGAAATCAGAGGGTGGAGCCGACACCAAGGTCACACAGTTTTGAGATCAGTCTGGGGAGGATAATGATGTTGAAGGTGGAGCTGTAGTGAACGAGCAGTTTTCTGATGTAGATGTCTTTGTTGTCCACATGTTCCAGGGATGAGTGCAGGGCTAAGACTATGGCATCCTTGTGGATCTGTTATGTTGGTAGGCAAACTGTAGGGGATCAAGGCAGGTTGGGAGACTGGAGTTGACATGGGCCATGACCAGCCTCTTGAAGCACTTCATGATTATTGAAGCCCGATCTATTGGGCGGTTGTCATGAAGGCACACTGCATGTGTTTTCATGGGTACGGGGTTGATGGTGGTCTTCTCAAAGCAGGAGGGACTTTGGATTGTAGGACGGAGAGGTTGAAGATGTTGGTGAATACCTTTGCCAGTTGGTCCGCACAGGATCTGAGTGCTCGGCCGGGGACACCATCCGGGCCCATTGCTTTCCTTGGGTTGACTTCCAGGAAGACTGATCTGACGTCTGAAGCAGTGACAGGGGGAACAGGTGTGTCTGGGGCTGTCGGGGCAGGTGTCACCACGCTGGTGGTATTCTGCTCAAACTGAGCGTAGAAAGCACTGAGCCTGTCAGGGAGGGATATGTCATTGTCTGCCGTCTTACACTGTTTCATTTTGTATCCTGTAATGTTATCTCGGCCTTGCCATAGATGGCAGGACTCTGTTTGGTAGGTTTGGACCTCTAACTTGGTCCGTACTGCCTCTTGGCCTCCCTGATGGCTTTGTGGAGGTCATACCTGAATTTTCTGTATTGGTCTGGGTCACCCGACTTGAATACTGCACATCTGGTCTACCGTAGAGATTGGACTTCCTGGTTCATTCAAGGTTTACAGTTGGGGAACCCTCTGATTGACTTCTTTGGTACATAGTTCTCCATGTATTTGCTAATGAAGTTAGTGACGATAGTGGCATATTTGTCTAGGTTTTCCGCTGAACTTGAACATGACCCAGTCCATCGGGTCCAAGCAGTCCCAGAGACGGACTTCCATTGCCTTGGACCGGCACTGTACTTCATTTTGTGAAGAATTCTCTCGTTTCAGCTTCTGTTTGTAAGCTGGGGGGAGGAATACAGCGCTGTGGTCAGATTTTCTGAAGTGTGAGTGGGTATGAGTGGTAGGCATCTTTGATGGTTGTGCAGCAGTGGTCCAGAATGTTTGGTCCTATAATTGTTGGAATGTTTTCATATCCATATTAAAGACATCCTGTTGTAAGCTGACAGTGAATACTGGCTGTGTGGCCACATAGGATAAATAGTGGCATGGGGCTAAGAGGAGGACATAGCTGTTTGCAGGGACATGGAGGAGACCTTGGGTAATATGAGGAGAAGGAGGAGATGAAGAGGCATAAAAGGGACTCATGGTGGCACAGATAGTACAAGGGACCATTAGATGTTCTTGAAGTGAGTTTCACGGGGTTAACGAATGGTATTGGGAGCTGGGCAACTGTACTTGAAAAACAAAGTGGACCTTCTAACCAGCACACCTCTGCATCCAAACTACCCCCATACTCATCCTGCATTGCACTGTGGGACTTTCAATCCAACCTTTGTCTTCCTACATCTGAGAGGAAAAAATATGGCAGGAATGGAAGCCTTAAATAAGTTTCCCTGGTTCCCTGAGACAAGAATCTAGAACCTAGCTTAGAAAATTGATTTGTTTTCTTTTCAAGAGAGAAGAAATTGAAATGGTGGCTTTGAAATTTCCAGGAATTATGCAAAACTGACACAACTGCTTTAAGCAAATTGTTCATTGCAATGGAGTAAAATTCCAAGCCATTGAATATAATCTTGAGGGAGATGACAGTATCATAGGAATGTCATTTGACTAACAACCCAGATAATGCTTTGGTGTCATACATTCATTGAACACATCAGCCAGTAGAATTTAAATACAGTGAAGAAATCTGTAAAGCTAGTTTCAGTATTGGCATCCGTACGAACTGAGATCAATCATCACAAAAACTCAGCTAGTTCACTAATGTCTTTTAGGGAAGGAAATTTGTCATCCTTACCTTGTCTGTCCCACATGTAACTCCAGCAGCACAACAATGTGATTGATTTTTAACTGTTCTCTGAAATGGCCTAGTTTGTCACTAAGTTCAAGGGCAATTAAAAATGGGCAACAAATGCCTTGCCAGTGAAAGCCACATCTCTTAAGAAAAGACCCTACAGGGTTCTGCGAAAGGGAATTTAATTGTGGTATTAGGCTTAGGTAAAGGCATTAAAACCGATTATTTAAATTGCTTGAAGAGACGACTAAATGATTTTGGAAAGTAAAGGGATAAAGAAAACATACAGGAGGCTAGTCAATGGAGTCAATCTCCAGAAAGATAATAGTATACAGATGGTAAAGACAAAACGAAAGGAGTATGATCATTAAATAAAACTTTAATATTCAAAAATTAAGAAGTGATGTGAAATGAAAAGCTTATTTTTCTTTCAGGTTTTTTGCCAACTTTTGGACCAGCATGGATCAATCTGTATGGTTCTACTCGCAATTATACCCTACTGGACGATTACCAGGAGCTCAACGAAGGTTTTGGAGAAGGAGTATCATACAGGGGCCGGCTCCTGATTGAAATCGCAGTGGAAATTCTGTCAGCGGGTGCAATAGATTCCAAAGTCTCTAAGCTTACAAAGGAGTTGAAGAATGTACCAAAAGATACGTCTGAAGAATCCAAATCCTCTAATTCTTCTAATAAGACAAATTCTACTGAAGTTGAAGTGGAATCAATAGAGCCATCTTCTTGGGTTTGTTTTATAATCACTGGGTTTTTTTTCTACATTTATCTGGGGAAAAGGGCATGAAACTTCAGGAAGGAATGAAGTTGCAGTGACAACTTTGTTTATTGGATTTATTACACCTGGTAACTATTTTCAAGTTTGATTGAAGTCACAAAGTCTTTTGTTGGAATCAGACTTGTCAACATGTGTCTTTGCCTGGCCCCCAGCTCCTGGCTATTGAGATGTCCATCCCATACATTGTCCTCCTGCTTGAAGCCAGGATGATCCTGGATGAGAACCCCCTCCCCTCCCACATGACTCTGTTCTTATCCATTTTCTATGGTAGGCCCTCTTACAAATACCATTGCCTCCTTCGCAATTGTCATCTCCCCCTAACCCTCAACCTACAGCCCCCAATGTCCATGAGTAGGTCCCTGGGCCTGCTTCCCAAGGCAGTGGTCTGTTTGCAACCTCCAAAATGCCCCTGTTCCCCTTAGCTTCTGCAGAAGGACCTGATGGACTGACTGTGTCCCACACCCTTGCGTGACCCAACGGGATAGCTGCAGACAAGAAGCGCCCAGACCTCTGACCAATATCTGTACATTTCCCCCAACCACGTGAGCCTGAGCCTCCAGACTGGATACTGTGGACCATTAACCAATCCCCAGACTGTGGAGGCACAGACCCCTGACCAAGAACACCAGAGCTGGATGCTTGGCTGTGCCCGATCCCCTGGATTGGTTTTGGAGTGCCAGGACTGACAGGTTTCACTTTAGTGAGGACTGTTCCCCTAAGACTTTGAGCCATGGGCTGCCTGCTTACTGCACATGCAGTGTGTTTACCGTGTAAGCTGCTGATACCTGGTGCTGGTGTGAGATTGACATAGTACACTGCTGTACAGCAAGATGTACCCTGACTGAGCACTGCCTGGTTAGGTGAGTTCACTAATTGGCAAAGCAGGGTTGGTGCAAGCATGCAGTTAAGTGCTAAATAAACGAGTGGTTAGTCAGTGAGTGAGCAGTCTTAGTACAGCCTGGCCCAATCTGTGAGTCGGGGATTCCTGTCCATGTGTGCAAAGTGTCCTTACAGCTACCTTTCAACATCTATTGCTGGTGATCGCTATAGATTCTGCTGTTTGTTGCTAAGAACATAGCGGCACTTCACAGTATTGGTCAGCTGGAGTCGCCAGGTACCCACTCATACCAAGAATTCTCAGTGTCATGTTTGCTTGTGGTGCTGGTAGGAAGAACAGCTGTATAATAATGAGGTGACATGTCAAGTTAATAAGATGATTTCTTTTGTTCATGTGATATAGTCATCATTAATTGGGCCAACAGTTATTGCCCATCGCCTATAGCTCCTTAATAAAAGTAGCTTGTTTGGCCCACTTTAAAGGACAGCTAAGAATCAACCACATTGCTGTGGGTCTAGAATCCAATGTAGGCCAGACCAAGTAAGGATGGCAGATTTCCTTCCTACAGGACCTTAGCGATCGTCAAGTGGTATTATCGCTGGACTATTAATCCAGAGACACAGGTAATGCTTGGGGGACCCATTTTCAAATCCTGCCACAGCAGAGATGGAATTTGAATTCAGTGAAAATCTGGAATTAAGGTTCTAATGACCAAGAAACCATTGTTGATTGTAATGAAAAACCCATCTGGTTCACTAATGTCCTTTAGGGAAGAAAACTGCCATCCTTACCTGGTCTGGCCTACATGTGACTCCAGACCCACAGCAATCCGATTGACTCTCAACTGCCCTCTGAGCAATAAATGCTGGCCTAGCTAATGAAGCCCTCATGAATGAAAAAACGTTGGGTTTTTATAGCAACTGGCACCACTGGGCCAGGTTTAAATTCCAATTTTTTTTACAATTGAGTTCGAATTTCACTACCTTCGATTTAAAAGCATAAGCACAGAGCATTAGTTTGGGGGTTCTGGATTACTAGCCACTATGCCATTGGTTCCCCAATAACAAGCAATAATTCCCTTGAATAGACAACTCGCCACTCGCAACTCACTGCTGTCTATTAAGAAGTCACCACTGCCTAGCAAGAATCTCATCTAGACCTTAGTTAAAAGATGCAACGAGTTGCCCCCAACGTGGAGATGGGTCTCATTGGACTTCTCACATGATGCTGCCACATTTTGCTCCATAGACTACATCATTCAGGCCCCTGTAAGATTCTGGCTACTGTCACTACATCTATGAGGGGTCTCAGATATGGTTTTCACTCCATGAGATCCTAAAATGTTGTGCCTTTTCCACAACCAAGCTTGTATGAATTCATCAGATTAGATGGAGCTTATTACAGTTTCCAACATTCACCTTTTCTGAGCCATTATCTTCTACAAACAGCATTTAGTTTCTCAATGCAATAGAAGGCTATGAATCTACATGGGACAAGCAGCCAATGGCTGGCCAGGGTGCCAGTAGTCACTCTGCCTGCCTGAGTGGGGAGGTAGAGTGGAATTTTTAGACACCCTGCCCACCAAAGCGGTTATCTGGCTACTTTTTCAACCTTGGAATTAACTTTTTTTTAAATGTTGTGAGAGAGCGTCTTCTTGTTAAGTGTTGTCTTTGTTTACCCTTTGGGTGAGAGTAGGGGTGGAGTTTCAGAGTCTGATTCATACTGAAATAAGTATTCTCACCTTTTGAAAGATTCACAGTTGGGGTTTTAGAAAATTCTGTTTTGCTTTGTCACAAATATTTTAGTCATTTGAGAAACAAAGGACTGGAAGAAGCATTGATTCTGCGATATCTCTGTATTTAGATAGTCTTTCCAGAATTACTATCTGATGAACAAATGTCTTTTCCAGTCTGATGAAGAAACTGTCCAGGATTTTCTTCTGTTTGGTACAATATTTGAGGCAACAATGATTGATAGGAAAATTGGTGACAAACCAATCAGCTTTGAGGTGTCGTTAGGTAAGGAGTTACAATTTTGTCTCTTCATTTAGATGACATTGAAGTATTTAATCAACCATGATTACACTAAATTATGGAGCAGGCTTGATGGACTGAATGGCCTACTCTTGTTCCTATATTCCTATGTTAGTTTCAATACATTTCATGATCAATGTTTTACTGGATCTGTAGATGCTGAAGTCTGTAAGCACAGCATTGATACTGTACTGAGAAGTCATTCGGTGCAGCGTGAGAAAGCACACTCCTCAACTGTTCATTAATATCTCTCTCATTACATCACACTCTCTGAGGAAGGGATAGGACAAAAAAGAGAGGAAAATTGGTTGCATGCACACGTCCTACTAACTTCAGACAGAATAAACAGTGAAACCCATTAGTAGCCTTACATATGGTCAGTGAGGAAATTGTACGCTTCCAATCGGTCTTTATGGCCACTGGCAAACAATGACTCCCCAAAGAAGGTGATAATACCACATCAATGCATTCATGTGTAAATGCAAACATTGGCTGACACTTTTGTGTTCCCCAATTTTTCATTTGTCCAGTTATTTCAATGATGGTTTTGCAGCAAATGTTTGTGTGATTGTACTGTATAAATCCACTGGAAAATAAGCTCATTTCAAACAATGACGAATGTTTCCTGAAGAATTTCCAGCATATCTTGCATGGATTGATTGCTTCCTCGCTATTCCCAAAGTGGCCCATATGTAGTCGTCATAAGAATGGTGAGGCCATTAGCTCAGTGTTATTTACAAGTGATTCAAATAACAACTTCTGCTGTCTACATGGTAACCAGGGCATCAAGAGGTTGCTGTTTCCCTGTTTCCTCAGCAGCAGCTTCCCCACAACAATATCTCATGGTGAGGCTTGGCATTGAAATCAGTGGAAAAAATTGCTGATCTTATGATCTCCTCTAATAACCATAATAACGCTGTGATAATCATAAGTTCTAGTGCAATCTGTGGGCAGATACAAGTGGCGACTACTGGTCATTTGCCATTGTCAGCAAAACCCAGGCCAATAAATTTGGAAACTAGGGGTGTAAAGGCACCTCTAATCCTCTCTTTTTTAGGAGGTGTTGCTAAGAAATGCATTAATGGCTCAAAAGCAAGGATACGTAAATGAGAAGTTACATTTCACATTTCCTTTCTGCAGGGAATTATGGAAATGTCATAGACAGAGTTTCTCCATCCAGTCCAACCAAAAGGCGACCACCAGTGGTGAATGAGGGTGAAACTGTATCTCTGTTGAATGGCAGTGGGCCAGGTGATATGTCTCAGTCCGACAAATCAATGAGCACCCCTGAGAAACCATTGCTAACTGAAGGCAACAGGTAGAGTTCAATATCTATTCCTTTTTTATTCATTCACAGGATGTGGGTGTCACTAGCTAGGCATTTATTACCCGTTCATACTTGTTCTTGGTGGCGGTGAGCTGCCTGCTGAAACTACTGCAGTCCATGTGATTTAGGTATACGCATAGTGATGTTTAATAGGAACTTCCAGGATTTTGACCCAGCAACAGTGAAGGAACGACGATAAAGTTCCCAGTCAGAATGATACGTTGTTTTGAGGGAAAGCTACAGGTGGTGCTGCTTCCATGCATCTGTTGCCCTCGTCCTTCTAGGTGGTAGAGGTCACAGGTTCGGAGGCTGCTGTTGAAGGAGCCTTGGTGAGTCACTGCAACATATCTTGTATATAACACACACTGCTGCCACTACATTGGTGGTGGAGAGAGTGAATATCAAGGATTGTGGATGTGTTGCCAATCAAATGGACTACTTTCTCCTGAATGGTGATGAGTTTCCTGAGTGATTTTGGTGCTACACTCATCCATGCAAGTGCCGAGTATTCCATCACACTCCTGACTTATATCTTGCAGATGGTGAAGAGATTTGAGAGAGTCAGGACTTGAATTACGCATTACAAGATCTCTATCCTCTAATCTAATTTTGGTGACATTATTTATTCATGTGAATCCAGTTCAGTTTCTGGATAATGGTAACTCCTGGCTATTGATAGTGGAAGATTCAAATATGGTAACACCATTGAATGCCAAGGGATGATGTTCAAACTCTTGCTTGTTGGAGATGGTCATTGCTTGACATTTGCATGGTACAAATGTTACTTGACACTTATTAGACTAAGCCTAGACATTGACTGGGTCTTGGTACAGTTGGGCATTTGGACAAGTACTACTTCACTATGTGAGGTATCATGAACAATACTGACCATTGTGCAATCTTCAGAAAAATCTCCATTTCATCCTAACAGTGGAAGGAAAGTGGTTGGACCTAGGATGCTCCCATGAGGAACTCCTGCAATGATGTTCAGTGGTTGAAATGATTGGCCTCCAAAAGCCAAAACTATCTTTTTCTTTGACATGCATAACTTCAACCAGCAGAGAATGTTGCTTCTGACTCCCATTGACTCTAGGTTTGCTTGGCTTCTCGATGCCATGCCTAGCCAAATGAGACCTTGAAGATAAGAGACATCTGGAATTCAGCACTTTTGTCCATGTTTGGACCAAGAGTTAAATGAGGTCAGCAGTGGAATGTCAGTGAGCAGCAAGTTATTGCTAAGCAAGTGCTGCTTGACAAGTCTTTTGACAACTGTCAGTGAGTTGTTTAATTGTCTGTTACCATCTGCGATTGGATGTGGCAGAACTGAAGAACTTGTATCTGATCAGTTGGTTATGGAATTGCTTAGCCCTGTCTATCACTTGCTGTTTTCACTGCTTAGCATGCAAGTGGCCTTGTATTTATAGCTTCACCAGGTTGACACATGGGTGATGGCCCACAGCACTCATGGAGGTGAGTTTTGAGTTGCTAGATCTGTTCAAAACCTGTCCCACTTAGCATGGTGGTAGTGCCACACAATATAGTGGGGGGTATCCTTAATGCGAGGATGAAACTTTGTCTCCACAGGTTTGTGTGGTGGCCTCTCCTACTGAAACATTCCTATGCCCGTGTCTGTGACAGGTAGATGGGTGAAGACAAGTTCAATAGATTTTTTTCCCCCTTTTGTTGGTTTCCTCACTACGTGCTGCAAGCCCAATCCAACAGGTAAAGTTGTTTAGGACTTTAGTAGTGGTGCATCTGATCCATTTTTGGTGATGGAGATTGGAGTCTCCATCCAGAGTCATTTCTGTGCCCCTGTCATCCTCATTGCTTCTTGTAATTGGTAATCAACATGAAGGAGAACTGATTCATCAGCCAAGGTGGGGGTGCAACGTGCAGTACGTAGTAATCAGCAGGAGGTTTCCTTCCTTGTTTTTGATTTGATGCCTTTTGCCAAAACAATATTGGTAAACCTGTAAAATCTGGGATATTGTTCACTAAAGAGCTAATCATCGACTTCATGAAGAAAGGAGGAGGACACACCCCTATCTACATTAATGGAGTTGAGGTGGAGGGGGTCGAGTTTCAAGTTCCTGGGAGTGACGGTAACCAACAATCTGTCCTGGATCACCCATGTAGATGCAATGATCAAGAAGGCACAACGACGCCCCTTTTTCCTCAACTTGCTAAGGAAATTTGGCATGTCCATAAGGACCCTCACCAACTTTTACAGATGCACCATAGAAAGCATTCTGTCTGGGTGTATCAGAGCTTTGTACAGCAACTGATCTGCCAGGACAGTAAGAAACTACAGAAGGTTGTGAACACAGCCCAGACCATCATACAATTTACTTTGCCTTGGAAAAGCAGCCAACATCATCAAAGACCCCTCTCACCCCGGTCATAATCTCTTCCAACCACTTCTGTCAGGCAAAAGATACAAAAGCTTAAACACATGTCACAACAGGTTCAAGAACAGCTTCTTCCCCGCTGTTATTAGACTACTGAACGGGCTTCTCAAATTTCAAACCTAATGCTGATCTTGCTTTTGTGAACATCGTGTCCAACTGTAACTTTGTATGCCTCGCTCTGTTTACCCTATGGTCTGTATGTCCTTGTATGTTATGATCTGCCTGTACTGCATGCAAAATAAAACTCTTCACTGTCCTTAGGTGCACTTAACAACAATAAATCAAGTCAAGTCAAATCACTCCAAGACAAAAACTATTGATTTTGCAGACAAGTGTTAGTTGACTAAAGATTTATTGCATCCATCTACGTACTGCATCCTCAGATAAGGTAGACCAGTATAGTAGGAAATAGGTAAAACTATGCGACATTAGTTCCACAAAACTGAAAAGACTAACCACTTAAATCAAAGTCTCAATGGGGTTTGTCAAACTAGCCTCCATATGGGCTGGCTTCAAAAGCAAAACCCCAGTTCAAAATCCCAGTTTATGTGCAGTGCCACCATTGGATTTACATTTCAAACATAAACAACAGGCTTATACAAATGGTACTCCCAGATCATTAAAATTCCATCCTCCTTTACCAAAATACCTCATGCAAGTGCTTGTGATCAGCACTTAGCATGATGCTGTGTTGGTTACATTAGGAGACCCGAAGATACTGATGAATTGTCTAAGCTGTTGTAAGCCAAGTAAATGTGCTAATGGCTACAAGTTCCCATCGAACAATGACCCACTTAAATCTTTTAATGCAAAGATATGGAAATGATGGATGGAGGGACCAGCAGGTCAAGACCGTCCTATACAGTCACATCATAACTACGTATCACAACCCTATTAATCTCACGTATCAAAATGAAGTGGAGAGGGAGACAGTCAATGATTTCAAAGAGAAATAGGATAGTGAGAAACCAGGGGAAATAAGAGATAAGAGAACAGAGCCTCAGGTTGGGACTGACAGCATTGCCCTGTAAAATGCTGGCAAGATCTTGATAGGTAGAATGGCATCTCTGTGCCAATTTAGGACTCCCAATTCCTGGGACTAGTATAAAGTAAACGAAAGATAAAACCGAAGCAAATTCAGAGGAAGAGCATTCTAGGAAAGTTTCCTCTAAATTCTGAAAGCAATTAGAATGATTTTGGAAGATCACAATTACCCTAAGGCACATCAACCAATATCCAGCCACCTAAATCTCCAACGCAGCATGACTGCTTTTAAAAATGGATTACGAGACATAATGTGAAATATTTCTAATGCTAAACTCTTGCTATGCCAAACTCTTTTGACTGACACTCCATCTTCCACATTCAACAAACTTTATCTCATTCAAAACTCTGCCGTTTGTATTTTAATGTGCATCAAGTCCTGTTCAACTATCACCAGTGCCCTAGATGATCTGTACTGAATCTAAGTCTTCTAGCTGCTTGTACTGAAATCTCCTCATGCTCTTGCTCCTCCATCTTTCTCTACCCCTCCACAGTAAACCTCTCCAAAAATTCCACTCCCCAAACACTCCATTCCTCTGCTTCTGGCCTCTTGTGTCTCCTTCCCTTAGCTCCACCAATGGCTTCATTCATTTAAACACTCTATTCGAGGTGCCTCCTCATCTTTTGCACCATTTCTTAAAAGCCACCTTAATCAAATTTAGGCCACCTCCCAAATACCTTGTTCTATGGGTGGACATCTATTTTGTCTGATTCGCCTTACTGTATTATGCTATTGAATATTTTTCTACAGTGATAGCAGCAACTTGAATTTGTGTACTTGCCTTTAACACAGCAAAATGTCTCAAGACACTTTACAGGAGCGTCATCACATGAGGAGATAGTCATACCGGTGACAAAAAGCTTGGTCCAAGAGGTTGGCATTAAAGACCATCTTAAAAAGAGAATGGAGAGGAAACTTCAGAGCTTTAAGGCCCAGGCAGCTGAAGGCATGGCCAATGGTGGAGTGATGAAAATTACAAATGGAGTGGAACTGGAGAAGGGCCGAGAACTCTGATTATAACTCTATGTAACACAAGTTGTTTATTTCTGTTAATCTAGACAGGGAGACCATGTGGAAGGTAGGGCTTTGACTCTCCCGGTCCTCAGGCTTCCTGAAATCTTTGGCTCAGGTAGTAAAACACAAGTAACAAATACACTGACTGATCCTAACTCGGTCCCTTCTTTTGTTTGCAGATGTTACTATTATTTGCCATTTAATAACAAGAAACCATGCATCTATGTCAAGAGTCACTGGGAGAACCAAATCTTTCGGCTACACAATTCTAACGTCCTGGACAAAATTGCTGACAGGCTTGTTAGTGTTTTTTTTTAAAAAGCTACCTAATAATTAATTTCTTCCATCTACACTGAACTTGTTGAACTTTCTCTCTGACCCTTTCTCAATAATTTACCTGTCCCTAAAAGATCAGCCTTTCCACCTTTCCACATATCAGTGACCTTCTCCACTCTCCTAGGGTAAATTTAACCCTTAGGAATGGGTCACGTGAAATGTTAATGGTTTGAAAATTTTACATTCATCCTCAGCCGCTTCAAATCTGGCCACTTCTGCTTCAAAGGTAAGTGGCGATGTGCACATGAAGTACCACTCTCTTGCCTGGCACTTTGGTCTGTTTGAGCTTTTGAAAGAAGCTGCTAAAATGAAGGTTGGTGGATGGGAAGGGTGTACTGGGGGTAGGACTGTTCGTGAGCCATTGGGAACAGCAATTCCTCCTGACCTCACAAACTAGCCAACATCCTACTCCAAGATTCCAACTTCCCCTAATATCATCCTCTCCGTTGTCATCTCAGTGTCTTAATGTGCCCCCACCAAATGATATTTTATTCTATTCCCCACCCTTCATGCCCCTCCATACCCCCACCTCAATCTGTCCCTGCACCAACTGAGACACTCACCAAAACTACCACCAGCCCTCCTGCTATACAATTGCAATATACTCAGTTCCCTCAATTCCTCCTACCTGGGAAAGGGGCCTAAAAGGAGGTTGAAATGTCAAAAATCTGGAACCCAATACAAACCTGCTTCAAATCCATTTATTTCCAGTTTCAATGAGGGTCAACTGTGGTGGTGAGGGTGTTGACATGGGGTTTGGATGAATAACCTGTTCCTTGGAGGGCAGGTCAGTTATTTCAATATGCACACTTTTAAGCAGCAGTAATTTCCCCAGTGATTTGTAACTGAAATAACGAGTGTGGGATTGGATCCAGTAAGTACCTTTTCCAGCATTGCTTGTAGGCCTAGAGAGCAGGAGTGCCTTATCTGTCACGATCTCTGTGATCTTCCTCTTCCTCCCTTCTTTACCCTACCCTTCCAGCTTGGTCTTTCCACTCAACAGCTGTTCAATCTGGCTGGTTGACTGTGGACCAGGCAGAAAGATCAATTTAAATGGGATCCCACCATTAACTTTGCCATAACCTTCACATTATCAAAGCTTCTGGCTTCCACAACATTCCTCTCCCAACAGTACAATCACTCTATCACTGCCTTGAGCTTTGCTGACATCTGTAAAGCCACCACAATTCTTTTTTCAAGATCATTTAGCAGGATTTTTACTGTAAAGCAGAAATCAGTATCTGTGTTACTGGGGAACCAAATGTTAATTGGTTATCAACTCAGATTGTTAGCCAACCATAAAGAATTGTGCATTTGCTTCTCTACAAAGTCCAATATCATCGGCATGAGGCATTTGCATATGTTAGAGCCTTTTGCGTGTGCTGTACAGTAAGTTCCCAAGTGTGAAAGTAGATATGATATGTGTAACCATTTATTGAAGGTTAAGTATCAATGACACACTTGGCAATGAGTGTTTAAGAGGCAAACTGGTCACAATATAGTGAGCCTAACCCCCACAAAAAAACATGAAGGAGCTTGACACTTTTATCCCTTATCTCAATTTCTTATTTAGGAAGAAGGTTTGAAAGAAATCAAAGAATACATGAAGGTTTCTGACTCTAGAGTGAATGAGAAGATGAAAGCTATTCTGTGGGAATTTATAGTCAGATGCAGGTAAAATACTCAAATGACTCTGATATACCAACTGAGAACTCATACAGTTACACAATACCCCAAATGCCTTTCCATTTCCAAATTTAGAACATAGAACAATACAGCACAGTATTGGGCCCTTTGGCCCTTGATGTTGTGCCAAACATGACACCAAATTATACTAATCCCTTCTGTCTGCCTTTGGTCCATATTCCTCCATGCCTTGCATATTCATGTGCTTATCTAAAAGCCCTTTAAACACCCCTATCGTACCTGCTTTCACCACTACCCATGGCAGCGCGTTCCAGACCCCTACCTCTCTGTGTAAAAGACTTGCCCCTCACATCTCCTTTGAACTTTCCTCCTCTCACCCTAAATGCATATCCCCTTGAATCAGATATTTCAACTCTGGGAAAAAGATTCTGACCTTCAACCCTATCTATGCATCTCATAATTTTATAGACTTCTATCAAGTCTCCCTCAGCCTCCACCGCTCCAGAGGAAACAACCCAAGTTTTTCTAGCCTCTCCTTGTGGCTCATACCCTCTAATCCAGGTAGCATCCTGGTAAACCTCTTCTGCACTCTCTCCAAAGCCTTCACATCCTTCCTGTAATGTGGCGACCAGAATTAAATGCAATTTACATTTCATTCTTTTAGCCGTATAAACATATTTTATGAATACTTGCAGCAATTTATCTTTATATTGATTCTTTTTGGAATTCATGTTTTTATTTATAACAATTACATTTTATGGTTAAGTCTCTGCTAGATTGTGATGCACCTTATTGCTCCACTTGTAGGTGTTAATTCCTGATCCATATACTAGCAGATATGTTTTACCTGTTTAAATAATGTTGCTGCACTCTAATCTTGCAGACCATTTATATTCAGTATTTGACTGAATAATTTTTAAACAAAGGGCTTAAACAAATAGATAATCCAAAGATACTTACAACAACACAGAAAATGTCGTGAGTCAACGAAGAATAAGATTAGAAAAGCAAAAATGGATTAAGAAAAACAAATGGTGACCAAAAAACTGAAATGCCAAAGGGCTGGATTTTTAAGAAATTATGGGATGTAGGTGTCACTGGCTGAACCAGTATTTATTGCCGATTCTGAGATGCCATAGAGAGCTGTGGTGAACTGCCTTCTTGAACAGGTGCAGGGCATGTGTTATAGGCAGACTCAATGCTGTTAGGAAGGAAATTCCAGGATTTTGACCAAGTGACAGTAAAGTAATGGAAATATATTTCCAAGTCAATGGGCATCTTGGAGAGAACTTGCATGTAGTGGAGCTCCTATGTATCTGCTGCCTTTGTCCTAGTAGATGGTAGTAGCTGTGGGTTTGGAAGATATTGCCTAAGGAACCTTGGTGAATTGTATCTTGCAGATGATACACATTATTGCTACTGAACATTGGTGGTGGAGGGAGCGAATATTTGTGAATGTGGTGCCAGTCAAGTGGGGGTGATTTATTCTGGATGTTGTCAAAAATCATAGAAGCATCAAAACAGAGAAACTAGGAGCAGGAGTAGGGCATTTAGCCCTTCCAGCCTGCTTTGATAATCAAATGATTATTGCTGATCCTCTATCTCAATGCTCTCCATTACTCCCCATATCCCTGGATGTGTTCAAAATCTGAAAATGATTCGCTCTTCGATAACTTGATCTACATAGCCTTTTCTGGTAGAGAGTTACACAGGTTCACTACTGTTTGAGCGAAGAAGTTTTTCTTCATCCGAATTCTAAATGGTTTATTCTCTATCCTTAGACCGTGTCCACCGGTTATAGAATCCACCACCAGGAAAACCTTCCTCCCTGCCCTGTTAGAATGTTATATATTTCAATCAATCCCTTCTCATCCTTCGAAACTCTAGTTGTACTCTTGTACACCAATTGATGAAAGCAGACCGGTACGTGCAGGAAGCAATTAGGAACACAAATGGTTTTTTGGTCTTCATTGCAAGAGGACTTGACTTCAGAAGTAGGGATGTTATTCTACACTTAAAGAAGCCCAATCAAACTAATCTCTCCTCATAGGATAGTCCAACTATCCCCAGTATCAGCCTAGTGGATCTTCTCTGCACTCCCTCTATGAAAAATATATCATCAGGTAATGAAACATAACTGGCATACAATACTCTCGGTGTTGGTCACACCAAGGCCTTGTATTAATATCTTTGCTAGGATTATGTTCAGGGAATCACCTGATTGGAACTTAAGTGATATTGAATAAACACGGCATGCCTTAAACTGCACTTCATTCTTTTTATTCATTGACGGGATGTGACATCATTGGCAAGGGAGCATTTGTCACCCAACCGTAATTGCCCTGGATCTGAGTGGATTGCTTGACCATTTCAGACGGCAGCTAAGAGTTAACTACAATAGTGTGAATATAGACTGAAAGATAATGTCAAATTTCCTTTCCTAAGGGACTGGATTGGTTCATTCAATTATCGATGATAGTTTCAAGGTCATCATTACTGAGACTAGGTTACAAATCCAGATTTTATTCATTGATTTCAAATTCCACCAGCACCACACTTCTGACTTCCCTTAGCTGTATGAACACTATGAATTCAACAGCAGATCAGAGGCTGGGTAATTTGCAGTGAGAAAGTCAACTCCTGATTTAAAACACAGTTCAGGAATGTGATGGGGTATTCTCCACTGGCTTTGTTGCTCCAACTGCACTCAAGAAGCACAACACTAACCTGGACAAGCAACCTGCTTGATTGGCTCCCCATCAACCGTTCAACATTCACTTCCTCATCAAAGCAGTGTGTACCATCGACAAGATGCACTGCAGCAATTCATCAAGGCTGCTTCAGCAGGACTTCTCAAAACTACCGCCTGCAATATCTAAGTGAACAAGAACAGCAGGCACATGGGAATACCACCACTTACAATTTGCTGTCCTATTCTCAAACACTACCCTGCCTCTCACTATTCCTTCATTGTTGCTGAGTCAAAATCCTGAAACTCTTTCTCTGGGAGCACTGCAGGTGTATTTTCACAAATGGACTGATATGACTCAAGAAGGGACTTATCATTAACTTCTCAAGGGCAATTAGGAATGCCATGAAATACATTTTAGAGATGTCCAGTTAAGTTTCTACTCAATGGTAAGCTAAAAGATATTCATGTAGTGTGGAATTGATTACGATAAAGCCATTAAATGTCAAGAGAAGATGGTTAGAATCATTCTTGTTGAAGATGGTCATTGACTGGTATTTATGCTTTTAAATATATATTATATGGGATATATATAAAAGATTTATCACCTGAAGTCTGAATGATATCCAAACCTTGCTACACGCAGATATCAGCTGCTTCAGTATCTAAGGATTTGTGAATAATGCTGAACATTGTGCAATCCTTAGTGGTCATCCCCAGTTCTGACCTTTAAGTAGGAATGGCATTGAAGTAGTTGAAGATGCTTGGATTTAGAACATTACTCTGAGGAACTCCTGGAGAGATGTCCTGGAGCTGAGTGGCTTCCAACAACCATACCCAATCTCCCTTTGTATAGGAGTGACTTCAAACAATGGAAAGTCTTCTTCCTGGTTTTCATTGACCAGTTTTGCCAGGGCTCCTTGGTGCCATGCTTGGTCAAATGCTGTCTTGATTTCAAGGGCAGTCACTCATCTCACCTCTGGAGTTCAGCTCTTCTGTTCATGTTTAGCCCAAGGCTTTGGACTGAGGCCAAGTGGCTCTTTTGAATCTGAGCTCAGCATCATTGTCAGTCACTATCTGATGCCTTATAGCAAAACAACCCTCCCCTCACACTAACGAGGATTAAGAGTAGATTGATGGGGCAGTAAATCGGTCAAATTATAGCTATTTATGGACAAGTCATGCTTGGGCATTTTTTCAGTTTGTCAGGTGGACACCAGTGCTATAGGTGTACAATAACAGCTTGGCTAGAGGCATAGCTTCTGTGATTCTATGATATGGAATGGTAGTCAATTCATCTCATGCTTTCACTCAGAATACCATTCAGAGACTTAGCAGCATGCCACTGGATAGCGATCAGGGGTGAGCGATAAATGAGTTAATTTTGACTTCCTTTAGCTGCTGAGAAGAATTGCAGGATTACAATGAGCAAATGATTCATTTATGTCAATTATTCAAAGTTTTTTGTTAGCAGTAGCCAGTTGGTGGGACTTTCCCTTGAAATTCAGTGCTAGCAATGAACCTTTGCTATTGAATGTGAAAGAGCCACCCACTTATCTAACTAATAACTTAATGGACTTGTGTTCCAGAAATTTTGCCAGCTTTACTGAAAAGGAAATGGAAGGCGTTGAACAAACGGCCCTTGACAAGAAACGCTTCAGTACCAGCAGGATGGAACTGGTAGGACACTGACTGAACACAGTGTGTATAAAGGCTGTGACCTCAAAGCTGCTCCTGTTCAGCCACAGAAAGTCAGGCAGAAATCAAATTAGGTGTGACAATGGAGGTTGTGCTGGACTTCAGCTGAAGTGACCAGCTCTGAAGAAATATTTTGGTGTGTTGGCCTTTAAGACATGATGCCTCTTAGAATTGTCAAAGTACAGCAGCTAAAAGACAATTACAAGTATTAATTCCCATCAACTTCTTCTAGCCTCCTTTCCACAATTTATTCCCAATGCAATTCATTCCTTGAGATTTAATGTATGGAAAAGACAGATGATGGGGGTTTTTTAACTGTTAGGTGGCTGACTGACAGCTCGCCTTGCCCTTTGGAGCATGGAGGCTGAAGGATCTGACCTCAGAGTGTTACAGTTGCGGATAAGTGGCTTGGTGCAGCTCATTGTACTGGAGCCAGCACAAGGTCATTGAGGCTGTTGGCAGGTGCCAGAAAGGTTATTTTAGGGGGCAGGGGGATTTGCCATTGGAGAAGGCGAGAAAGTAAATACTGGGCGGCAGCAACTTTTTTGTGTCACATCCAAATGCTTTGTTTCCTTATTCAATTATTGAACAAAGACTTGAATTGCAATTTTGTAAGAATAATTCTTAAAAATATATGGAAGAAGCTTCTAATCTTGTGGTAACAACAAATTTAAGATTGACATTCGGCTGTGCAGTGTGGTGTATTTATGTGTGATGGAAACTACATATATTAATACACAGAGCCTGTTCTTTGCAGGCAGAAAGAATGCGTACATTCATTGTGCTGTTTTTACTGAACCAAATAGATGATAGACATCCTCTGGCCCATGGGAATGCCTTGACCTATCAAAGCCAATCTACTTGGTTTAAGTTTAAACAAAGCTTAGCAGTTAACTGCCAGTCATCACTCAACTGATATATTCTCCATGGCAATGTCGTGACCAAGCAGAGTCCACTTGATAGCCAATCAGCACTCTCTTCTCATAGTATAAATATCATTCCCTCTTTACTTTGGTAATTCTTTTAAAATGTCCTGATGAGTACAAAACAAAAAGCTAGGACAAAATGTGTTTTTTTTTTAAGCAATACCCAATGTCTTTACTACCTGATGACTATTTGTAAAAACACATTACAGCTTAGATTAATAATAGACCTAATCCTGTGATTTGAAGGAATCCTTGAGACAATCAGCACATTATCTACTTTGGACGTTCTAACATAAATTTGGGTTATTATTTAAATTCAGAATTAACCAAAGGCCAATGACATACAGCATCAAAAAATTGAACAATTGCTCTCTCCTGGCACAATGAAGAAATAATTTCAAACTTCCCTTTTTGGGAGCTGGACCACTCTGCAAAAATGGCTGAGTTCAGGCTGACTTCAGTTCTGTCCTGAATTGACACCTGGGTCCTTTATAGGTCGGCTTGCCAGTTCTGGTTTCTGGAAGTACTATCACACCTTCTCACAATCTTGTGTCCACACTCCAGCTATATCTCGTCCACCACATATGCTGCTTCACCTTCCCACATAGATCAGAAAACAAACAGTCCCATCACTGGTCTGACTGGATAAATCATGATTATCAGTCCAACAGATTTCTTCTCACCCCTGTCCAATAAAAGAATGTATGCAAAGAAAACTTTCAAAATACACCGTTCTTTTAATGCCTCAATAATTTTGTTTCTTCCACAGAAAAGTTCAGGGAAGATTTTCTTTAATTTCTGTAGTCTCCTACAGTATCCCCTATTTTTGTGTCTGTTAAACTTGCTCAGTAAAAGGCACTTACAGGTACAGGAGCTTTTAAACATGGCAAGAGCCAATATGTGTCAAAAATTGGCATACCTCAGCTATTTGGTTGAGGTTAGATCCAAATTAATACTTACTAGACCAAACTAAAATGGTCTAAAGTTAAAATTGCTTCCAAAAGAGAATAATATCAAATTGGCTGACTACTAGAAAATTCCAAAATATTATGCAACCTTTATAAGCAGTATAACATACTTCAAATGTCTAATACACTTCACTTCATTTTATTGGTTTCCAACAAGAAAATAAAGTTAATGACTTGGACCTTTAACATTGCACTTTTTGATTACAGTTTGTATTTTGGCATGGCTTTATGTTATGTAATACTGTAAATCTTAAGGAGTGAGGAAGTCTTGTAGCTTAGTGATTAGTGCTGCTGCCTTTGAGTATCTAGCTTCACATCCCACTCCATGACTTGATGATCAAGAATGTGCATTCGTAACATGGCCAAACAGGTTCAGGATCAACTTGTAAATCCTTCCATCACACAGCCGTGTCAGGTGGTTACAGAGAGAGAGAGAGATTTCTGGTCAGCATTATGATAGAAAGAAAATCACAATCTCTACTATCGCTATCCAGAGCTGCAGATGGAGATAAGCACATAGAAGTTGTCAAAGTAACTTGGACTCTTGTGGAGGGCTGGTGGGCATCGGATTGGTGCCAACTGCAAGGGGCTCAATTCCTGTTCCAGTGGAGGTGGATTTGGGATCTGCCTCCTTGCCAAATTTGAAGTGGTGAGGGTTGTGGCAATTTGGGTTGGACCAGCGTTTGTGGCCAAAAATGAAATAGAAGGAACAGACTGATAAGGAAAATCTTGCAACTGCAAGTTTAAAATAAGGGGAGGGAATGTTATGAAAGATATGGTTTCAGGATTGAATGAAGCAGTAACTATGTAATTCAAACAGCAGTTCTGCTCCAGGGTCATCACAACATGAGCCTGGAAATTTATGCTGGTGTGTTCATGCATTTAGAATAAATGGGCTTAATGCCTCTGCCAATAGTGGCTGGAGAAATTTGAGACAAGTACATCAAGCCTCATATCATTGTGATGCTTAACTACAATTTCCAGAACATACAGTCATTATGGCACAAAATAAAATCATTTTGCCCGTCAGGTCTATGCTGGTAATGGTATCTTTTACATTTAATCAATGTAGGGCTAAAGAAATCCAGCTGTTAGAGCATTGTTTAACTTTATGTCAGAAGTGGAGCTGAGGAACACTAAACAAACTTCACAAATAAAATCATAACCTCTCCATGTGTTACCTATGATCAATATTTGTCACCTCACTTTGTCTCAATGAAATTGAAATATGAGTAGGCCATTTAGTTCGAGTTTGATCCACCCTTCAATGAGGTCAGTGCTGATCTCATTAGAGCCTTAACTCCATTTTCCTGCTTGTTCCTCCATAACTCTCAACTCAAAAAAATTGCTTTATGCCTTTGCTTGAACCTTGTGCCTTTGACATGGGCTCCTTTGTGTCTCATGGATACAGCCTGAAGATAACTGAAAACTATAATGCTCTCTCCATCTATGCCCACTGATGTTTAATACTGTACCAGTGGAAACCATTCATGTGGGATTCTTTCAAGGACATTTAGGCTTGCAGTATTTTATTTTTTTAAGCAGAAGGTACAATTTTTTTGCTGAGTAAAACAATAATATCATTACTGGGTAATGGAAGATTTGTCCAATCACTCAGAAACAGCATCAAGAACAGTCAGACACAGCTTGATACCAGTCAGATATGTTTCTAGTCGAACTGAACAGATTGCTCACCTCAAGGAGAAAAAGGACAGCAGCCATATCATTTCTTATTCATGGACTTATCCAAAGTACTTGTGTCTTTTAAATGTTGTAACTGTACCTCTGGAAGTACATTCAACACACAAACCACTCTGTGTAAAATAAAAAAAATTGCTCCTCAAGTCTTTTTTAAATCTTTCTCCTCTCACCTTAAAAATATGTCCCCAGTCCTGAAATCCCCCACCTTAGTGAAAAGGCGCCTACCATTCACCTCATCTGTATCCTTCATGATTTTATAAATCTCCTTAAAGTCACCTCTTAACCTCCTACACTTCAGTCAAAAAAGTCCCAGCCTATCCAGACTCTCCTTATAACTCAAAACCTCCATTCCCGGCAAATCTGGTAAATCTCTTCTGAACCCTCAATACAGAAGTATTGTTTTTGTTTTGCATGTATTAGCCAATGCCTACAAGGAATTTAGCTGAGACTGTTCAGATGTCTTCCAGGCAGAAACATTACAACCAGCAGAAAGAGGAGATTCATGCCATCAATTTGAACTGAATTCCAGGTTCACATAACCTTTAAGTTGCCTTTTTTGGAGGAGAAAGTCAAAAACTCAGGGGCCCCTCTCCAGATTGCTGAGTAACATGCATGCCTGCAGAAACATTTCAGCGTAACCTGCTGACAGAAAACTGGAAACGAAGAAAGAAAGCAGTGTTTGATGAACCAAAGTCAGCTTTCATGGTTATGACCTTGCTCATTCTTTCTTTGTATTCCAGGAACAGATAAGCAATGAAGCAAGGGCAATGATTCAGGAGAAGAAGATGATGTCAATGAATGAATCACTGCGTGAAATTCAGAACTGGATGCAAAAGTTACGATTTCTTGCGGATGAGGTACACTGCAGTCAAGAATAGAAAGGAATATTTCACTGCAGTCAAACATTAGTTTGTCAATCTGATTAAGGAGTCTAAGGATGAGGCAGAAACTTGCTCTGTGTTAAAATTCATGTTGTTTGTTCTGAAGGGGTTAGGCAAAAAACAATCTCCATTGATCTAGGAGTGTTTCAAGAAGGCAATAACACAGACTATCTGGTATGACTGTGGACATATGGGGTCAGTCACAGAGCTTCAATGAAGACCAGTTAGGTATTTATAAATGCCACCAGGACAGCATAGAAAGAGCTGATTCAGCCCATCATGCTAATGTTAGATCTTTGAAAGAGGTTGTTCAATTAGTCCCATTCTCTATCTCTCCATAGTCCTGTATTTTTTCCCCATTTACATACTTACTTTTTATTCATTCATGGGATGAAGGCATTGCCAGCTAGGCCAACATTTATTGCCTATCTCTAATTGAGTCAACTACATCACTATGTGTCTGGAGTCACATGTAGGCCAGACGAGGTAAGGATGGCAGTTTCCTTCTCTAAGGGACATTAGTGAACCAGGTGGGTTTTTCCCACAATTGGCAATGGATTCACAGTTATCATTAGACTTTTAATTCTAGATTTTTATTGAATTCAAATTCCACCATCTGCCATGACAGGATTTGAACTCGGGTTCCCAGAACGTTACCTGGGTATCTGGATTAATAGCCCAGTGACAATACCTCTTAGGCCATAGCTGGACAGGCTTTCTTCTTAATATCTGTTGTTTGTTTTATCAATGCATGCTGTATTTAATTTTACAACAGAGTTTTTTAAAGTATTAGGTTTGCGGTTGGATAGTGACACACTGATGTATTAGTATTTTAATACAGTGTTGTAGTTAAGTAGTCACATCTGGCAAATTCAAAAGGGTCCAAAAATTCTTGTCTAGCACCTTTAACAAGGTTCTTAATGAGGCCTGGTGGCTTATGAGTTAGCACTGCTGCCTCACCGCAGGAGGGACACAGGTTTGATTCCACCCGCGGGTGACCGTCTGTGTGGAGTTTGCACATTCTCCCTGTGTCTGCGTGGGTTTCCTCCAGGTGCTGTGGTTTCTGCACACAGTCCAAAGATGTGCAGGTTAGATGGATTGGCCAGGGTTACAGGGATGGGATGTGCTTCAGAAGGTCAGTGTGAACTCAATGGGCCATACGGCTGCTTCCACACCATAGGTATTTTATGAGTCTAATGGGCTAGTCCTCCCTGCCCCTAACCTACATTGGACAAAATACCAATGCACGAAGAACAGGGTTGGGAAACTGGCAGGTTGGTCATTTTTGGTATTTTTGGGCCCCACTTGCTTCCATCCCTGCCTAAAAATCCTACTGTTTTACAACTGTGACCACTTGTCACCTCCTGAACTCTGTTATTTGTTCTGATGAAAGGCCCCATAACTGAAATGTTATGTCTGTTTCTCTCTCTAAAGGTGATGCCTGATCTGCTGGATATTTCTGTTTCTATTTCAGATCTCTAGCACCTGTAATATATTGACTTTTAAGTTTAAAAAAAAAGTCCTAGTTGTTTTCTCTCTTTTTATATTTTCAGCCACAACATACGATCCCAGATGTATTCATTTGGATGCTCAGTGGCAACAAGAGAATTGCATATGCGCGGATTCAAGCGAAGGACATCCTGTATTCTGAGAAAAACAATGAGAAGGGGAAAAACTGTGGGAAGATCCAGTCTCTATTTCTTAAGGTATTCATTTTTTTTTGATATAGAACTGTTTCAAATTTGCACTGCATTTTAAAAGAGGAAGAAAACATAGCCAAATTATTCCTTTGTATTGTCTTCTGCTTTGCATTGTTCTGTTCCACAGGATAGACAGATGGGCATTCTGACTCTGAGTCACTGGGATTTTGCTAAGGCCCTTTGGTGTATGATGATCCTTGTATGAGCGCTGGTAGGCTTGATCATCTGTTTTGCCCCTCAGTGTGGGAGATTGCCTGACATTCACCCAGAGAACAGTTCAGCAGCGGAAGCTAGGCCTGACATCATAGGAACCCTGATGGACCCTTCTCCAACACAGCCGCAACTCCCCTTAAATAGCCTCACCCTTATTACCTCACTCATACTTCTCAATTCCCTTATCTTCCGTTATTTCCATCCAACATCCCCTTATCCTCCCATTCCCCTTAACCTCCCTCAACCCTTTTACCCTCTTTATCCCCTCTCATGCCCCAAACGACTCACAGTACCCATTAAAAACACAACTCTCAAGCACATTTTAGAGAACAGAGAACAAAAGAACAAAAGAGAAGTACAGAAGAGGAACAGGCCTTTCGCCCCTCCAAGCCTGTGTTGATCATCATGCCCTAACTAATCTAAAAAACAAACTGTCTGCCCTTATTTGGTCCATATCCCTGTATTCTCTCCGATTCATGTAACCATTCTCTTAAATGTCGCCAATGTGCCTGTTTCCACCATCTCTTCTAGCAGTGCATTCTTAAATTTTTCCCTTCTCACCTTGAACTTATGCCCCCTAATAATTGAAACTTCAATCCTCGGAAAAAAGCCTCTGACTATCCAACATATCTATACCTCTCGTAATTTTGTAGACTTCTCAGCTGCCTTCTTTCCAGTGAAAACAATCCAAGTCTTTTTAACCTTTCCTCAGCCAAAGTGCAGTCACTTCACCTAAGGGAAACAGCTGCATTCTATACATGCCCCCTTATAATCTTATCCACCTCAATCAGATGCCCCCCTCTGCTCTGAAGAAAATGCTCTGCTCCGAAGAAAATATCACAAGCTTATCCAAACTCTCTTCACAGCTAAAGTGCTCCATTCTAGGCAATATCCTGGTGAATCCCCACTGCATTCCATCCAGTGGAATCACATCCTTCCTATAGTGCGATGACAAGGACTGCACACAGTACTTCAGCTGTGGTTTATCCAAAGTCCTCTACAGCTCCAACATTACTTCCCTGCTCTTATAACGTATGCCTCTACTGATAAAGGCACGTGTTCCATGTACCATTCTGTCCTGCCACCTTCAGGGATTTGTGGACAAGCATCCCAATATCCCTTTGCTTCTCTGAGTTTCATGTTGTTGTAGCTATTTGCTCCCTTGATAACTTTCCACTTGTCAGACATGACAACCTGACTGGCACGTTATATTACTTTTAGCTTTTCAAATAAAAGCATTGTCATCACTTAAATTTAGTACCAACAGATATAATCTGTGGTACAGTATTTCATGATGACACATCAAGTAAGCAACGGCTTTTGTACTGTTCATACAAATCCTGTGTACAAATCATGGTTTACCCATAGTGCATGGCTCAAGGCTGCTGGAGTGATTTACATGGATGACCAAAACCCCAACCCACCTGCCTTTAACGAAATTGTATAAGTTTCAAAATATTTAATTCTGTAAGCAGCTCACAGTTTCCCAATCTCACAAACACACCCCAGCCTTCTTCCTTACTGATGAAAATTGCCAATTCCAGAAGCGGAAATATCTGGGCTCAGGCTTCCATTTTTAAAACCTGTCTGACACATTTTCGATTGAGGGTTGGGAAAAATCTGACCCAAATGTCCTCACCCAGGTCCTATCCCTGGATACTCCTACCTGACAAAATCTTACAAGGTTACAGTTGTCTAAGCGTTTTGGAAAGGAGTATTGATCATTTCAACTCCTATTTGTGAGGAACCATGACTGACTCTGCTATTAAGAGAGATGTGTCAAGGTCCACGTGATCAATTGTGATTGGAGACCCTCTAGTCGAGGGCACAGACAGGTGTTTCTGTGGCTGTGAGTGAGACTTCAGGAAGGTGTGTTGCGTCCCTGGTGCCATGGTAAAGGATGTCTCGGAGTGTTATTATTGAACTTGATTTAAGTTCAGGCTAGAGAGTTCCCAAGCGGAAAATGAGGTGCTGTTATTCCAGCTTGTGCTGAGCTTCTTTGGAACACTGCAGCAAGCCTGAGACAGATATTTTGGCCAAAGACCACGGTAGTTTGTTAAAGTGGCAGGCAACTGGATGCTCAGGGTCTTTTTAATGGACAGAATGTAGGTGTTCTGTGAATTGGTCACCCAGTCTATAATAGGGTTAGGAAGTAAGTCAGCAAGTGTTATACCTTCTGCGATTGCAGGCGAAGATGCCATGCAGGTGTGTGGACGTGTTAGGAGTGAAGGAGGAGTGGATCGAGGTATCCCAGAGGAAACAGAAGGCTGACAAGGGAGGGAAGGGGAATTTGTGTCTGGTGGTGGAATCGGTGGCTAATGATCCTCTGGATGGGGATGCTGGTGGGATGGTAAGTGAGGACAAGGGGGATCGTATCACTGTTGTGGAGGGAAGGGAGGGAGTGAGGGCTGAAGTGCAGGAGATGGGTTTTACTCGACTGAGGGCCCTGTTAACTACAGTGCTGGGGAATCCTCGGTTAAGGAAGAAGGTGGATATTTCAGAGGCCGCCTTTCGAAGTTGACATTATCATGACAGAGACAGAGGAACTGGAAAAATGGAATGGAGTCTTGAAAGGATGTGAGAATGAATTGTCCAGGTAACTGTGGGAGTCAGTGGGTTTGTGGTGGTAAAGGAAACTTCTTTGTTTAATCGGAGGCTGAATTCAAACATAAACCCCAAATATATCAATGTTATTTTGTACCTGCTTCCCCCACTCAACTATGAAGTTATTCAGTTAAGCAAATGTTCTATTTTGATTATATGCATACCTTTACAGCTGCCAGGAAGGCATGTAATAGGATGGCCTGTACAAGCAAAAGTGGATATTAACCTATGGTTAGGTACAACCAGATACATGGATGCTATTCTGGAAAACCTGCCCTGTGGATTTGATCTGGAAATGCCAACCAAAAACAATGCTGCATTTCGGATTTCCCCACCTCTCAATATTATTTATAAAGGTGGGCATGACAGATCTTATTTCCAATTCATAATTAATTCTGTATTTAATCTTTTCTATATTAATGATGACATTTTTTCACAAGCGGAGTTCAGCTAGTTATTCCTGAGGACATTAAAAGACAAGAAAAGAAGTGTTCAGACTCTAAAATTATTGAACTTGATGTTGAGTCCCGAAGGCTGTAACGTCCCTAGGTAGAAGATGAGGTGTTCTTCCAGCATACATTCAGCATGGCTTTCCTCCTGGGTCTTTTACCACTCCATGACACAGATTTCTTTCAGCACAGCCAATCCATTTTCACCCACTCATTGCCCCAGTTATCACCTATCTAGTTTCTTTTGTTCCCTGGCTTACCAACAACAATCCCATTGTCCACCTAACCATTTTTTCTCTCTGTTCAGACTCTGTCTCCACCTATCCGCACTCTCTTACTCGCCCCCAACTCCCGCCATTAGCACAATTACACCGTCTCATAGTTGCTATCACTTACTAGGTGGGGTTGCTGGACTTGAAACGTCAACTCTGTTTTCTGTCTAAAGATGCTGCCAGATCCGCTGAGTTTCCCCAGCAATTTGTTTTTGCTTGTTTCAGATCTCCAGCTTCCGCAGGTCTATGTTTCATACATAGAGCTTTATTTATACAGTAAACGTGGGCAGATGTATTATTTGTAAGATATTTTAAATTGCTACCAAAACAAGTTAATGCAAATCTGTGACATATTTGAGTCATAGTCATAGTGTCATACAGCATGGAAACAGACCCTTCGATCCAACTAGTCCTAGCCGACCATATTCCCAAACTATACTAATTCCCGATTGCCTGCTTTTGGCCAATATCGCTCCAAACCTTTCCTGTTCATGTACTTGCCTAAAAGTCTTTTAAATGTTGTAACTCTACCTGCATCCATTACTTCTTCTGTGGCAGTTCATTTCAAACATGAACCACTCTCTGTGTAAAAAAGTTGCCCCCATCTCCTTTTTAAAACTTTCACCTCTCACCTTAAAAATATGCCCCCTATTTTGAAATCTCCCACCCTTATCTGTTCTCCTCATGATTTTATAAACCTCTATAAGGTCACCTTTCAACCTCCTATGCTCTTGTGAAAAAAGTCCAAGCCTGTCCAGCCTACTTTTGTAACTCAAACTCTCCATTCCATGCAACATCCTGGCAAATCCTTTCTGAACCCTCTCCAGCTTAATAATATCCTTCCTATAACTGGGCAGCCAGAATTGCACGGAGTACTCCAGAAGAGACCTCACCAATGTCCTGTACAACCTCAACATGACTCCAAACTCTATAGTCAAAGGTCTGAGCAATGAAGGCAAGATTGCTAAATGCCTTCTTAACCAACCTGTCCACCTGTGATGCAAATTTCAAAGAATTATGCATGTGAACCCTTATATTTCTCTGTTCTACAACACTACCCGGGGCACTAACATTAATTGTATAGTCCTGCTCTTGTTTGTTTTACCAAAATGCAATACCTCACATTTATTGAAGTTAAACTCCATCTGCCACTCTTCAGCCCATTGACCCAATTCATCCAGATCTCTTTGTAATCTTAGATAACCTTCTTCACTGTCCACTATACCACCCAATTTTGATACCTTCCGCAATTTTACTAACCATGCTTTTAATATTCTCATTCAAATCATTTGTATAAATGACAACAAAAGTGAACCCAGTACCAATCCCTGTGAAACACTGCTGTTCATAGGCCACCAGTCCGAAAATCAACCATTCACCACCACCTTCTGTCTGCTATCATTAAACCAATTTTGTATCCAATTGGCAAGCTCATCCTGACTCCCACGTGATCTAACTTTACTAATTAGTCTACCATGTGGAACCTTGTCAAAGGCTTTCCTAAAGTCCATGTAAACAATGTCTACTGTTCTGCCCTCATCAATCTTAACTGTTACTTTCTCAAAAAACTCAATCAAGTTTGTGAGACACGATTTCCCTCACATAAAACAATGCTGACTATCCCTAATCATTCCATGTGTCTCCAAATGCACATAAATTCTATTTTTGAGAATCCCCTCCAACAACTTATCCACCAACAATGTCAGACTCACAGGTCTATAGTACCCAGGCTTCTCCTTACAGCCTTTCTTAAATAAAGGCACAACATTAGCCACCTTCTAGTCCTCCAGCACCTCACCTCTGGTTATAGATGATATAAATATTTCTGCTAGGGGCCTGCAATTTCTTCCCTAACTTCCCACAACGTCCTGGGATACACTTGATCAGGTCCTGGAGAGTTATGCACTTTTTTGTTTTCTAAGACTTGCAGCACTTCCTCCTCTGCAATGTGAAATGGTTTGAAAACATCAATATTTATTTCCCTATCCTCCATTTCTTTCTCTACAATAAAGACTAACGCGAAATATTCATTTAGTATCTCCCCCGCATCCTGAGGTTCAATGCATAGATGATCTCATTGATCTTTACAAGGCCCTATTCTCTCTCTCTCTGGTTGCTCTTTTGCTCTTAATGTACTTGTGGAATCTTTCTGGATTATCCTTAACCTTATATGCCAAGACTCTCTCATATTCCCTCCCTCTCATATTCCCTCCTGATTTCCCTTTTAGGAATGCCCCTACATTCTTTATACACTTCAAAAGATTCATTTGACCCTAGTTGTCCATATCTAATATACATTTATTTATTATACTTGACTGGAACTTTTGTGAATGAGACCTTCTAACATTTCAGTCAATGAAGGCAGCTATAGATCAGACTTTATTATTGTGCTTTTACTGATGTTTGATGTAATCTTAGAATCTTTTCTGGTTGGATCATAAATGACAGGGGCTTTAAAGAATTGATGAGGTGGAACATATCCTGTTTGATTGACCCGCTCTCCTACCCACTAACTTAATGTAATTAGTGTGTTTTCTGACAAGGCCCATAGCCCATGCTGCTGTAGGGTATAATCGTCAGAACTATTTGCCTTCTAACTACAAAAGACAAATATTTAGAGACATACAGCATAGGCCAAGTTCATCTGTTAGGAAAGAAACCAGACAAGATTATGTTTGACATATTTTTCCTTTGTCATACTTTCATAGTTGGTAGCAAGGCCAGGATTTGTTGTCCACCCTTAATTGCCCTTGAACTGAGTGATGTTTTAGGTCAATTCAGAAGGCAGTTAAGAGTCAATTAAATTGCTGTGGGTCTGGAGTTACATGTAGGCCAGACTAGCTGAGGACGTCTTTCTAAAAAAATGATAATTGTTATGATCACCATTACTGAGAGTAGCTCCATTCACCAGATTTTACTAATGGAATTTAAATTCCACCAGTTGCCATGGTGGGATTTGAACTTAAGTTCCTACAGTATTAACAAGGATCACTACACCTCAGTGAAAATATCAATATGTTGCTATTTCCTCAATGCTTTCATTGTGACCTGTGAATTCATTAAAGAATGTCTTAAGTTGCCAGAAAAATATTAACTACTAATGAAAATCTAGGAGACAGCATCTTTCACATGGTCTTCATTTGAAAATATTTATGACTCTAACTCCTGCACCTGAAAGAGGAGATGATTAAATTAGGTTTAGGATGTGATTTCATTTATTTGAACAGTGATGATCAGCATTGCTAACTGTGCATTATTAATGAACAAAGTGTTATATTTTTTAATCAATGTCTCTGCATCTTTAACAGTTATATTTTGAACTTCTTGTATTGAACAGACCATCATATGTTTCAGCTAAGGTGCCATATGTACCAAGCAAGAGGTCTTCTGGCTGCTGACAATACTGGTCTTTCAGATCCTTTTGCTAAAGTGACTTTCATTTCACATTGTCAGACTACTAAGGTAAACAATGAAATATTAACACGATGGGAGGAATTGCAACAATTACAATCATAAGTTAAGCTTTCTGGTGATCATACAAGGCATTCCACATGGTCCCCTCAGTTTTCCAAAAAAATACTTTAAAAGAACATTCTTTTGGATTTGTTGTAGTGTTTTAGCCCAGTCAACTCTTCATACAAAATCTTGAATAACAAGTATTAGCTCGCTTTCTACTAAGTATTAGTGATAATACTGTAAGTATAAGAAAGTGTGTACAAATTAGCTGTAATATGACCTTGAGAAACTTAATTATTATTATTTCTACATACACATTTTCATGATATCGGTATTTTATTTTTGACAAATTCTTTCCATAATTTTTAGATTGTGCTTAATAATTCCACTATTAATAATACTGTAGTGTTCTTTTTCTGGGACTTTCTTATTACATAGAAAGTAGGAGCAACAGTAGGCCATTCAGTTCTTTGAGCCTGCTACACCATTCAATATGATCATTGATGATTATCTAATTCAATACCCTGTTTCCACTTTCTCCTTCTACTCTTTGATCCATTTATCCCTAAGGACTATATCTAACTGTCCGAAAATCTTCAACTGCTTCTGTGTCAGAGAATTCCACAGGCTCAACATTCTCTGGGTGAAGAAATTTCTCCTCATCTCAGTCCTAACTGGCCTATCCCATATTGGGATAAAGTTATTTATATCATTGGGGAGGTGATGGCCTAGTGGTATTATTGCTCGACTGTTAATCTAGAGACCCAGGGAAAGTTCTGGGGACCCAGGTTAAAATCCTGCCATGGCAGATGGTGGAATTTAAATTTGATAAAAATCTGGAATTAAGATTCTGATGATGACCATCAAACCATTGTTGGTTGGTGGAAAAATCCATCTTTTTCACTAATATCCTTTAGGGAAGGAACTGCCATCTTTAACCTGGTTTGGCCTACAAGTGACTCCAGACCCACAGCAATGTGGTTGACTCTTACTTGCCCTCTGGGCAATTGGGGATGGCAGCAAATGCTGGTCTAGAAAGAGACACCCTCATCCTGTGAATGAATTTAAAAATATGATCTCCTCTTCCTTCTGACAAAATGAATCAAGTCAGATGAAATTTCATCTTGTATTTGTCTTTTTCCACCAGTCTGTCTATGTTCTGTAAGCTGCAGAAGGTTTGCACTCTGATGGCTGGCCTGAGGCAAGGAGGAAGCTTGGTCAAATTGTATTACTGTAAAAATTAAAATTCGTCCTGATCCTCCATTTTTGTGTGTAACTTGTTGAAATGTAGTTAAAGAATGGGAATTGTTTGGAAGATCTAACATTTATCATGATGATAAAGGTGAAAACCTAGTCACACTTCTTTTTTTTTTGTTTCTTAACAGGTTATTACTCAGACCTTGTCCCCAACATGGAACCACATGCTCTTGTTCAATAATATCCCTCTATATGGTGAAGCAATGGAAATAAGTGAGGCTCCCCCACTCGTGGTGATTGAAGTTTATGATGACGATGCTGTCGTGAGTGTGAAGTGTTAATCTGTAATGGGAAAACGTTCTTTACAAAGGGCGATACTAGCTTTGCATCTTTATTATTTGCTGGTCCACTTTCTTTCTTGAACACTAATGCCATCTCAGTTCTAGATCATTTCATGCCATGCTGCAGGCTGCCAATTCCATTCTAGCTGCTGGAATGTGCCAGGCAGTAGCCAATGTGATCTGTCCTATTGTCTTCCTCTTTCTTTTCCACAGAGAGGTACCATCAATTGTTTGTGGGAGCTTACTGTTTGCAAGTTGGCTACTACCTTTCCTAAAGTATAACAGTGATGAAATTTCAAAATTATTTAATTGGTTGAAAAATGCTTTTGGAAATCCTGAGGTAATGGAAGGCTCTAGATAGAGTCTTAAGGCAGAAGAGAACTTCAGTGCAATGGTGACATAACAGATCTTTGCTATTTCCTGTTCCTTGTCAAATTCCATTTTCAGTTGGAAGGCTCAACTCCATTCTTCCTGCCCCACTGCCAACTAATGCCCTTGAATGGTCAGTTAATAACCACATAAGGGCCTCATCCTGCTGGCATTATTCTAGCTCCAGGCAGGCCTAGAAAGTTACAGCTTCTCTGACCTGTAAACAGGTCCGGGTAGGTTATAACTTGGGGGTTGTGTCTCCCTTAATCTATAGCTGGATATAGTGCAGGGATATGGCTGCTAAGAGGCAACATGCCTTTGCTTCCAAATGCCAAAGACCCCTGTCTCTACAACCCCCAAGAAGTAAGACTTGCTCCCAAACATGCAGAGTTGATCTTCTACCTTGGGAGTCTGGGGCATGTTGTATCAGCAGAAGCTATGGCTGCGTCTGTTTTCTGGAGCTGTTATTCCAATTGGTTGGCAGCTCTTGGTGACTGAGACTCCATTATTCTTAATATTGATTGAAACTCTGCTGGCCACCATTTGCTGTATGATCAGGCAGGCTTTCACATTCCGAGAAGCTGCAAGATTTTTTTCTCCAAAAATGGGAGGATACCGCCCACAGATTCATCAAAGAACTGTAAAGGAGGAGACCATTTGGCCCATTAGGTCCATTCTGTAATGCAATCCAATCTGTCCAACTCCCCCCTCTTCTCCTGTAAACCTACAAGTTCCTTTGACTCAATACAATTTCATTATCTCTGCTTCCATCACTCTCATAGGCCATGAGTTCCAGGTCATGGACCCTAATTGAGTAAAAATGTTCTTCCTCATACATCCACCCATATCTCACCTTTTTCTTTTGCTCCAAGATTTAAATCTGAAGTCCCTGGTCCTCGTACATAACAGTTTATCTTTATCTAACTCGCATAAACCTGTCTTAATTCTGTTCACCTCTATTAAATCTCTACTCAATCTCCATTGTTCCATTGAGATCAACTGTAACTTCTCTAAATTAATCTCGTAGCTCTCCCCTGGAACCATTCTCTCCTCTGCACCCTCTCAATGTTTGTCACTATTGGTGATTGAAATAATGAAATTCAGTTGGTGTCAGTGCTCTCCACACTACACAGAATAGCAGGTTACCAAACTACCGCACTATCCTACTGTCCGTCTTAATTTATTACCGACTTCTAATCGTGATGCTTAATAATATTCAAGCAAACATCACTGTTTTTCAACAACTAGCAAGCCTCAATGATTCATTGTGAGTAGCAGCAAGTATTCAAGTGTTGGTTTGTAAGTCATGCATCCGCCTAATAAAATGAACCAACAAAACTTCCAAAACCTGTAGTTCACATTATAATTTTAAATCATGATTTCAGTCAACAGCAAACAAGCTGATTATCCATTGCTATCATTTTTGTTTTGAATGGTCTGGATAGGTTCATCCAGAGCTTTGCTGAGTGAGGGTCAGGACCCCACATGGGACAGTAAGATGAAATTTTCAGGTTGCAAGTTCTGAAGTAGCAATGGCTGAACTCCCTCTCCTTACTCAAATTGGCATTGTCCTGCTCCCTCCCACAGCTCACTGAGGGGAAAAAAGTTCGGGAAGAAGTGGAATATGCCTATGTTTTTGGACAACTTGACAAATTAATAAGGGGACTCAAGAAATCAGGTTACGATCATTTATTTCATGCATATGCAGGGAGAGCCTGTTGTATCACCATGATGTGTAAAATTCACTCCGATAAGTTTGCAGGTAATTTGAATGTTTGTAGAAAACATTACAACATTCATATTACAATTCCCACACTCCTTTGTCCAGTTCTCTTTCATTAGCTACTGCTTTTCCTGCCGTCTTTCACAGGAATTGTATTTTACCAAAATGCAGCTTCTACTCCACTAACCAGACTGTCAACATGAATCATTTGTTATCCATTCTTTTTACATCTGTGGTTCTCACTGACTTTGCTACCTTTGCTATTACTGACAATATATCTAACTTAACTCAGCTGGAATGGTATGAGTAACACCAACTGCTGTGATGAGGTTTGCAGTAATATGAGAAAGAGACATTGTATGACTTGAAGAGAGTTAAGATGTTTATTGTGACATTGTCTACAGCCCTCAAGCATGCAATAAACCAATTTCTGCTACCATACAGAAGAATCTGTAATCTCGAGTAGCAAGAACCTATGGGGGGATTAGTCTTCATCCCAACCCTTGTATCCTGATAGGCTAACACTGTTAGCTGAAAGTGTTGTTCTAGCAAGGTAATTTGAAATGATGGATCTTCTTTCTTGCTACCTTTACTTCAGGGTAAAGCAGAATACATTGGTAGCACTGTGGTTGTTCCGGTTGTGAGGCTGGGCGGACAAGATTACGTCCCCCCTGAACTTCAATATCACCCCATGTACTGTGGCAGTGTACCTGCTGGGGAGCTCCTTGTAGCCTTTGAACTCCTGCAGGTAAGAACGTGTTGGGATCAAGTTTTATATCAACCCATTGAACTCCTGAAACTTCAAGTATTGATTATAGTTTAGGCTTGTAGGAGCCTAAGTAGCTAATAGAATGGATGCCAATGTAGATAGTCAGAAGGATGTGTTGAGGGAGGGAATTCATTCACATACAACTGCAATATGCAGAGGGGGGATGTCAAGCAGTGCCTGAGCAGCTTTCTATTTGGCCTGTTTCAGTCATATTGACTGAATGTACCCTCCAGAGATAAAAGTAAGAGTATACTTGAAGCTGATTGAAGTTATTCTTCAAGCATACACACATATTTTAAAATAGCCCTTGTGCACTACCTTTCATGAAAGAACTGAAGAAAGTTAAGAGCCAAAGGGTTAGTTTCTTCCGAAGTTGCCACTAACAATGCATCAAAACTGTGCTCACGTCTGTCAGAGCAACAGGTACGTTATGTTGGCCTGGCTCCTCAGTGCGATCTACCAGCAGTCTGTCTTGGTGGAGGAAGAATCAAGGCAGCCATTCTGGGTCAGCAAAACAATTTAGACCAATGCAATTTCCTAGGAAATTAGTCAGTCACCTGCTTTGGGATAAGGAGTCTTGACTGCCTTATTTTCCACATTTCGCCACAAGCAAATTAAAGGAAGATCTGGTCTGTAGTGTCAGATTGGTTTGCAAAATGAATATCTGCACTCAATCCCATTTATAAAAATTGAACTGCTGATCTTGCTGTACAAGGTTAACATGCAAAATTGCAATCAAGTCTCTTCCATGAGAAGAATTTATCTCTCAAAATATCGCACGACTGGTTATTTTGTGGCAATTTGAAATTTGCCCAAGCCAACTAAAAACAAATCTTTACCAATATCATGCACAAAATGTAGGATTTGGAATGAAAATTTAAATTCACAGCAGATCATGCGCGTGTAGGGAATAGGAAAAATAGACCATTTGGCTCCTCAAGTCTGCTCCACCATTAAATAAGATCATGGCTGATCTGTTTGTGTTTTGAATTCTGCATTACCATGTACCCCACCAAGAACCTGTTATTCTTGCCTTGCAAGAATCTATCCACCTCTATCTTAAACATATTCAATGAACCTACCTCCACTCCCTTCTGAGAGACAGAGTAAAAATTTAATGTTCACCATTGCTAAGATTAGTATTCAATACAAGATTCAGTTGAATTTAAATTCCACCAGCTACATTGACGAGATTTGAACCCTATGTTCCCACAGCATTAGTCTGGACCTTTGAATTATTAGTCTGGCGACATTAACACTCCACCACCATCTCCTGCATGCACAACCTGTACTCTTTAAAGTTTGCAGCATGAAAAAGGCTGTTTTGAAAGTTTCAGGACCCCAAGGGAACCTTTCAGTATTAAAATTCAGAACCAGAAATACATCACAAAAAGAAGAAAGTGGGAAACTATTCAAGAACCTGCAAAATGATCCAGTATTGGAAAGAGTTGAAACAGAAAATGGTGAAGAAACTCAGCAGGACTGGCAGCATCTGCGGAGACAGAGACAGAGTTAACATTTTGAGTCCAATGTGGATCATCTTCACTTTTGAAAAGAGATGGTTTCTCAAGTTGAGCTAAATCCAAACTAGTTTTTGATTGCACTTTAATAATGATTCATTTTAGCTATCTTATATCAGACATTTAATGTGAAAACAAAGACTATTAGACATAGGTTAGGTTGTTCATTAAGAAGGTGTTACCTAGGTAAACAAGACAAGCTTAGGATAGGGGAGAAATAATAACTAATGTAAGTGTGTGGGATCTTTATCTGTTGCTATAAATGATGTACTTTCAGATTCCGGATTCAGGAGTTGAAGACCTTCCACCTATTGACGAACTGGATGGAAATCAGATCTTGCCAGTGCCAGTCAACATCCGTCCTGTACTAAGAAACTACAGGGTGGAGGTACAACGTATCACTCTGACCATAAGACTGTTTTAAAGCCCATGCTTGATTAGTATGTGGGTGGGGGTGAGGGGGTAGGGGGGGAGGGGGGGCGGTGGGGTGGATCACCCCAAGCCCACAACTGTGGTTAAAGATGATATCAAACTTAAAGATGAAGCATGCAATTGTGCAATGACAGGTGGCAGGTCAGAAGATTGGACAGAAAGAAAACTAAAAGAGTGAAAAAAATGTTTATAAGAAGGAAAATTTAAGAGTACAAGAGAAAGCTAGCCAAAAATGTAAAAATAGCTGGTAAGAGTCTCTAGAAATATGTCAAAAAGAGAAGAATTAAAATAATGTAGTCCTGTAGAAATTGAGTCTGGAGAATTAACAATGGAAAATAAGGAAACTGCTGATGAATTGAACTGGTAGCTTTTATCTGTCTTTGGAGGATATAGTAACATCCCAGAAGCAGCTTCAAATCAGGAAATGGAAAGGAGGGTGGAACTCAGGAAAATCATAATCACCATAGAGCAGTACTGAGTAAATTGTTTAAACAGCAGGCTGACAAATGAACAGATCCTGATAGACTTCATCCTGGGATTTTAAAAGGAGTGGCCAGTGAGATATTTGATGTATTTTCCAAAGGTCCCTTGATTGTGGAAAGGTCCCATTAGATTGGAAGTTAGGAATGTAGCTCCTTTATTAAGAAAGGGAGGGAGACAGAAAGCAGGAAACTACAGACCAGTTAGATAAACCTCCTGGGTCTTCTGAATGGCATGGGCCTGCTCCCGCTTTAAACACTTAATATTAAATAATTGACAATCTAAGAGCCTCAACTAGTCGATAAACAAGCACTCACACAGAGACTCCCTCATCCCATGTAGAAACGTTGTTGGAGTCGGGGGAGGGGGAAATACAGGAAGGTTAGTGGTGGGCATGGTGCTCACAAGATTTTACATAACACAGCCCCACCCTCAAAGCCACCCTGTTGGAGTTTAAAACCAAACCGAGAACATTTCAGGGTATTAACATTCCATCAGACCTGGGAGATTGAGAGGGTTTTAATCAAGTGCAAAGGTGGGATACGGTGGAAGATTGAACAAAGGGGAAGACGGAAGAAGTGAACGCAGTGAAGATTGAATAATAAAAGGGATCACGGTGCCAGAAAAACAGAACTCATGCTTAAATATAGGCATCTGTGTTCTCAAGTGATCCAGAGATACTTCACAGCAGTGAGTGACCATTGAAGTATAGTCTCCATTACTTCGCAAGACCCCACAATGAGAAATATACTCAGATAATCTTTCAGGTAGCGTGGTTGAGGAATAAGTATTGAGTAGGAAACTCTGAAAATCCACACTGCTCTCTTGGTGCTGTGAAATGCGGCCACAGTCCTCATATCAACATCTACAGCGCAACACTGCCTCGATTGCAAAACGCATGTGCTTGGGTTCTTTTATTTTCCATATTCACATCAATATGTTGGATGTCAAAGTCGATTTCTGTTTATTGTGTGTTTTGCAGGTGTTTTTTTGGGGTCTCCGTGAGCTCAAACGGGTGCAGCTCCTGACTGTGGACCGGCCGCAGGTTTTCATTGAATATGCAGGGAAAGGAATCAAATCTTCTGTCATTCAGAGTTACAAGAGAAGTCCGAACTTTACCGTTCAGGGAGACTGGTTCATTGTTGTAAGGAGACACCTATTACATTCATCACATTAAAGTTTCTGCTGCCCTCAGCACCATTGCCGTGATACTCCAGAAATGCTGCCTGGAATTCCCTGCTGAGGACCTTGTAGGGTCCCTGCCAGCCAAGAGCAGACATGAATTCCACACTAGACTTTAAGAATATCTTAAGAAAGAAGGGCAATTGATTCTGAAAAATTGTTTAAAATTGTGACATCTTTTCTTCAGCCCATTGAAGGGCCCTAAATCTCCTTTATCGGAGTGATGAGGTCCCACCCTAATTTTCCACTCAATAGTTATAGTGGCCAGCTTTGTTCTGCTGTGACCCATCAATCTTTATTGTTTAAACAACCTCAGCACAATGATTTAGGACAAGGCTGAATCCAGAGACAATAGCAGACAGAAGGCCAGCCTTGTCAGACCCCCAGGGGTGAAGCAGTGACTGCAAAATGTTGAGCCCTCTCTCAATAAACTTGTTTATCCTTGGAATGCCTCAGGGTGGTTGAAACAAAATGACACATTGAATATCAGAGCAGCCAAGTTTGTAACAGTCATAGAGTCATTCAACATGGAAACAGACCCTCCGGTCCAACTCGTCCATACCAATCAGCTTTCTCAAACCAAACAAGTCCCATTTGCCTGATTTTGGCCCATATCCCTTTAAACCTTTCCTATCCGTGTACCTGTCCAAATGTTTTTTTAAATGTTGTAATTGTACCCTCCTCTATCACTTCCTCTGGCAATTCATTCCAAATACCCACCACCTTCTGTGTGAAAAAGTTGCCCCTCGGGTCCCTTTTAAATTTTCCTCTCTCACCTGAAACCTATGTTCTCCAGTTTTGGGCTTCCCTACCCTGGGGAAAAGACCTTGGTTATTCACTTATCTATGCATGTTATGATTTTATAAACTACTATGAGGACACCTCTCATCCTCCAGTGCTCCATAGGAAAACGTCCCAATCTATCCAGCCTCTCCTTACAACACAAACCTTCTAGTTCCTGACATGCTTTTGACTTTGTTTTGTTCTTTTTCTCCTCTTTTGATATATCTGGCCCTACTTTCTGGCATCCAGTGAGAGAAATCATCAGACTCTGACTATAGGTATCTGTCTTTGCTCTTTGTTTCCATTCAGCATCTTCCCATTTTGATTGGTGCTGGAACCAAACCTTTTTCTTTCACTGCTCCACCCATTTCATTGCATTGATTCATTTGGAGTTGTCACTTAGCCTGCCAACAACAGTAGGGACAGTGTTGAGGAGGGAGTTAAAATATGCTGAAGCGTCTGCATTGCCCTTACCTGGTGTTGCACATAATTTGATTAATTGGAAACATTGGTGACTTAGTGGTGGATAATAAATGACAAGTACCACTGGTGATTTGGTGGTGGGTAAAAAGCCATTTGGCTGTGTGTGATAACATTTCTGCATTAAAAAAAAATGAAGAGAAAAATGCCAACCTGTACCAATGTGCTGCACATGTGCCTGCTGCTATGTAACAGTAGTGAGGTGTGAAGATGGTATGTGCCCTGTCTGCTGGTGATGAATATGATCAAGTATGAATGTCTGCACCCACTGTGCACATGGGAGCTGGATTCCAGTTGCAAAAGCTGCTGGGCAGGATCCTTGGGACTTGGGGAAACCTGAAATGAGCCTGTGTAACAACTGGCTGCAGTGTGTTTCTGCGCAACCCCTTTGCACTCCCCAGGGGCCCTCAAACAAATCTTCTGTTAATCATCACTCCTTCCTGCTGCTTGCAAACAACACATCCCCCACTCTCTTCAACCACTGCCTCCCAATTGTTGGGCTCCAACCCTTCCCCTTCTCTGACTCCCCCCAGTTTCTCTCTTGCTGAAGACCATTTCCAACTGTCCTGGCTGTAGCATTTTGCCACTAGCTTTCCTGCACCAGCAACCTCTCCATCTGCAGATAACAGAGAGGTCAGGGATTCAATTCCGGGTTCTACTCCCGGCCCTGCCCCTCTCAGGTCACCCCCTCTCCCTCCTCTGGCTAATATTGGGGCTATTGTATCATACACCTGTAACACTTGTGCATGTTGATTTAAATGGAGTGTAAAAGAAAGATTTTACTATTTATTTGGACAGGAATTACCTGACAATGAATATCTTCACCCCCCACTCCGTATCTCCGTCGTTGACTGGAGAGCATTTGGCCGCAGTACTCTTGTTGGGACGCATACCATCAACTCACTGAAGCAGTACATCCACAGACCTCGTGAACATCGTCAACCAGCACGTAGACCAACACCGGATATAACTGGTGAGAATTTCTGGTCTTACTCTTCTCAAATCAGCTGAAAATGTAACTGGGGACAGTTTTGTGATGAGAGAGCACGGTGTAACAGGCCTCCAGAAGTAGGTGGTGACATTGAGGGAGTACATTGAGCAGGGAAGTTCAAGCAGTCAGAGGAAAGGGTGTCTTTATCAGAAAGAGACCTCAGGAAGAGTGAGACGCACCCAAACAAAAAAAAATCTTCAACGAGATGTGAACTATAAGCTTAATTCCATGTAAATACCCTGTTTTCCTAATTTAACTTGAATTTTCTGAATGTTTGTGAGGACTTGATGCCAGTAGAAATAAAGAATTGTTGCTTCATGATCATTCTTTGCACTTAAATCTTGTCTTGCAATGTAAAATGTAATCAAAAACAGATTGGCTGGTAGGGAGAAATTATTTCCTCTAGTTGGGGAATTTAGAACTGGGGACTGTCTAAAAACTAGAACTCAATCTTTTGGGAGTGAAATTGGGGAAGCATTTCTTCACTCAAAAAATAGTAGATGTGTGGGAGCAAATTACTGCAGGTGCTGGAATCTGTACAAGTCAGGCAGCATCCCTGGAGAGAGAGCAAGCTAATGTTGAGCCCAGGTGACTCTTCAGCTGATGTAAAGTGTGGAGGGAGCAGCATTTATGGAAGCATTTATGGAATGGTAGTGGGGGTTGGGTGTGTGGAGTGTTGGGGGAGAAAGTGTGTGAAGTAGTGCAGATTAAGTGATTGGAATGTTTCACAAACACCTTGTGAGGTTTTGAAACATTATGTAAATGCAAGTCTATTCTTCCTTTTGATTTTTTTTCCTTCCTTTCACCATTCCTCCCTAATCATTGTAGCTCAAGTTTATGTGTTGAAAATTTTAATTCAATTTACAGTAAAGTATGACATTTCCATTTATGGGTTGAGACCATTGCCAACAAGGGCAGCATAATTGCCCATCCCTAAGTGTCCTTAAACTGAGAGTCCAACTATGCCATTTCAAAAGGCATTTAAGACTCAACCACACTGCTGTGGATCTGGAGTCACATGTAGACCAGACTGTAAGGAAGATGGAAAAAGAATGAATTGCAGATGCTCAAAGTCAGAAAAAAAAACAGAAATTGCTGGAAAAACTCAGGTCTAGCAGCACCTAGGGAGAGAAAGTAGAGTTTATGTTTCAGTTTCAGACAATTCTAGAATTATCCTTTAAGGAAGGCAAATTTCCTTCCTTAAAGGACATGAGTAAACCAGATTTTTACCACAATTGTTTTTACTACAATTAGTAATAATTTCATGGCCATTATTGCTGAGTCTGGCTTTATATTACAGATTTTCTAATTTAGCTTAAATTCCACCAGAGGACATGATGGGACTTGAATCCATATTCCCAGAGTATCAACTTGGGCCTCTAGATCACTAGTGCAGTGATAGTTTCACCATGCAACTATCTCCCTCTGAAAATTTTGTCAATTATTTTGCAAAATATTTTGCATGATTAACTAGACAGCAAGTCATTATTTCTATGTAGCACTCCATAAAACCATAAAATGTAGGAGCAGAAGTAGACCATTCAGTCAATTGAGTCTTTTCTGCCATTCATGAGATTGTGGCCGATCTGATAATCCTCAACTCCATTTTCCTGCCTTCTCCCCATAACCCTTGATTCCCCTACTGATTAAAAATCGATCTATCTCAGCCTTGAATATACTTAACAACGCAACTCAGGATTCTAGTAAAAAATTCCACAATTCACTACCCTTTGAGAGAAGAAATTCCTCCCCACCTCTGTCTTAAATGTATAATTCCTAATTTTGAGATTATGCCCTCTGGTCCTAAACTCTCCCAAAAGGGGAAATAATCTCTTCACATCTACCCTGTCAAGTCCCTGAAGAATCCTGCAATGTTTCAATACGGTTGTGTCTCATTCTTCTAAACATGAGTAAAGGCCTAAAACTACTCAACCTTTCCAGATAAAATAGTCACATTAAACTGAGATTAGCCTAATGAATCTTCTCTGAAATGCCTCCAATGACAACGTATTGTTCCTTAGAGAAGGGGCTGAAAACTGCTCATTGTATTCCAGTTGTGGTCTAACATGTGCAAGACCTCCCTACTTTTATACTTTATTCCCTTTGAAATAAAGGCTAACATTCCATTTGCTTTCCTTATTACCTGCTGAACTTGGAAGCTAGCTTTTTTATGATGTATGCATGACGACTCCCAAATCTTTCTGCGCTATAGCATTCTGCAGTCCTTCTCCATTTAACTAATATTCAGCTACTGTATTCTTCCTATTAAAGTGTGTAGCTTCACATTTCCCCATATGATATTCCGTCTGCCAATTTTTTGCCCACTAGCTTAACCTGCCTATATCATTCCACAGATTCTTTGCAATACTCTCACCTATTGCCTTCCCACCTATTTTTGCATCATTGCAAACTTGGCATTTGTTTTCCTTAACTAAATCATAAATAAATATTGAAACTAATTGTGAGCCTAGCATTGAACCCTGTGGCAATCCACTAACTACAGGTTGCCATCCTGAAAATGCCCCCTTTTATCTCAACTTTGTTTTCTCTTAGTTAGGCAATCCTCTATTCAAGTGATTGGACTATATCGAACACCGTGGACTCTATTCTTCTTTAGATTAGTGCCTAATGTTACCGTCCCCATAGAGACCAATAGCTTAAAAAAATACAGTATTTCCATTCCCAGTGATATACTTAAAGAATCACATGACAAAGCTTTAAGATTTAAGACTTTTACTGTAACAAAGAAGAACATTGACTAAATAATACTGACAGCTAATGTTCTAAACTACAGCAAAGGTAATCCTTATTAATACTTTAATGCAACCATTAACCCTATACTGTATCCTATAGTCTCCATGGTAACCAAGCCACCAAGGCTTGCTGTCAGCCAGAAATTGAAATAGATCATATGAATCTCTTTACTCTCCATTTTTAACTTGAATGGAAGAAACAGTGCAAAACATAATCATCATATAAAATTTCATGTTCATAACATATGGTAACAGCCAATTTGCACAAAGCGACATTTTGCAAAATGCATTGAGCTTAATGCTGGTTTCTCAGCTTTAGTCATGTTCATTAAGGGATGAACCTGAAGATATAAATTATGCCTCATTTTAAAGTAGCATTTTGACGAATTCTGAAATCTTTCAGGATTTCAAGTGTCAGGCCTAGGTCCTACAGCACACCTCAAAAGCAGACGTTTCTGAATTAGAAAGAAGTGTGTTGCCAAATGAGCCAAAACACACAACGATCTTGTGTCTTGAATCAATAATAGAAGACCAAATACAAAAGTTAAAGGCTTTCAGTTTACTCTTGAATTCGTCAGTCTGGGCATCTAAGAGACTCCAGAACTAACTTTGAATATACCCATTTATTGGATTCAGACTAAGAAAAGTTAAAGCAATGATAAATTAAGAGTTGAATCACTGGAAAACTAAACTCAAAGTTCCTGGGTTGTATTGATACTTACAGCAATCTTTCAGCATAAATGTAAGTTATCTTTATACTAATAACTGACTTTTTAATAAATCTCTAGATGTATCTTGTGCTGGACGACAAACACAGGAAAATGAAGTCTATATAAACATGAGTCCTGATGCACCATCTGAACAAATGCCGGCAGTAGCTTTCCCAAAACAAATGGTCAGTAAGATCTACTTTACTGCACATTTCTTGAAGTTAGATTGCATGACAATATTGAACGTGATTGAATACTGTAGAGTAATATGGCCTGCAGTATTAATGCTCTTCTGTTGACCACATGCTGTTTGTACAGGAGCACTCTGATTGTTATACAGTACTGTCCATGCGTTAAAACCTCATCCCTAGAAATGTACCCAGGACTGATCTGCAATTACTTCTAAGACTGAAAGGAGGAGGCATGGAAAACAACTGTTTCTTTTTATTGGCATTTCAAATGTGTGTCAAAAAGTTGAGTCAATGCAATACTTCCTTTCTTTTGATTTTGTTTGGGAACAAGTTTAAATAGGGGGGCATGATTAAGTAACTTTCAGTTCAGACCTGTCTGGTGTGATAGTGAAGAAGTCAGCTGTAGTGTTCAGGAAGGTATCAATGGACCAGTCAGGTCACAATTTGATAGACAAATAGAATCCAATCAAAAGATGTGAGAGATTTGGGTAAGGCATACAAGGCAAAGGAATACACAATAAATGGTAAGATACTGAGAAGTACATAGGAAAAGCGTGTGTACCCACAGATCACTGAAGGTAGCTGGTCAGGTAGATAAGATGGTTATAGAGACATACGTAATACTTTACCAGTTGAGATAAAGAATATAGCAGCAGACAACTTATGCTAGAATTGTATAAAACACTAATTAGACCACAACTAGAGTACTGTGTAGATTAAAGTAAATATATTATTGTACGAAAGAGGTTAGAGGAGAGATTTGCAAGGCTGTTGCCAGAGGTGAAGAACTTTAAAATTGAGAATGAGGAGGAATTTCTTCTGTCAGAGGCTTGAGAGTCTTTGGAACTCATGGCACAGTCAGCTGTGGGGGCAGAGATCTTGTGCATATTTAATGCTGAGATAAATTCTTGATCAATAGGGGAATCAAGGGTTACGGGGAAAATGGAAAAATGTGGATGTGAGGAACATTGGATCAGCAATGAGCCTTTTAAATGGTGCAGCAGGCTGTAGGGGCTGAACGGCCTATCCCCCTGTTCCTGTTTCTTTTGGGCTTATGGTCTTAACCATGAGAAAAGATTGGAATGGCTGCAGTTGTTTACTTTGCAATAAAGAAGGCTGAAGAGAGATTTAATTGGACATATAATATTTTAAGAAGCTTAGATACAGTGGATACCCGAGAAATCAATAATGAGGGGACATACACTTAAAATAATTGGTAGAAGGATTAATTTGGGGACTAAAAAGGGACTTTTTATTTAGCCAGAGTTTGTGTATCTGGAACTCAGCTGAAAAGAGCAGCAGAGCAGAAACACTTACACCTTAAAGAATACTTGGATAAACTAAACAACATATTTGAAGGGCCATAACTTAGAGGGCTAAGGATCCAAAACTGGAATGTGGAATAAAGATGGATAGCTTTTCTTCATATGGCACAGACTATTGGGCCAAGTGTTGTCTTCCATGCTATAAACTTTCTATGTTTCAGTCACTGAGCTCTGGTCATGTGGAATGCATTTTTGGTACATTCTACTTGCTCTTGATCAATGTTGGGAGAGAAAGTATGGCTCCATTAACCTTGACTTTACTTTCAGATTATATTGCTACATGCACTATAACAGCTACATTTCAAAAATACTTCAATGGCTGTTAATTGTATACAGGTCATGGGTATTTAACTGGGGATTCATTTAGGTCCCCTTAAATAGTCAAAGGCTCAAATTGTGGTTGTTGTGTTAGGAGGTGTATGCTTATAGTGCGTGACTCTGTTAGTAAATATAGAAATGTGTAACAATTGGCTCCAGTTCTATACTTCACCAGCTAGCTTTCTGGACTAGAATATGATAGCAGAGAAAGGTTGCCTTGATACAAAAGTTGAAAACTAAATAAAAAATTGTTACACAGGAATACTATTGCCTGCTAGTTCCCTTCTGAGCTACACAGCATCCCGACTTGGAACTATATCACAATTCCTGTTGCTGAGTCAAAACCTGGGTCTTCCTTTCTAAATGCGTTGTGTATGCAGTAATTTAAGAAGACAGCTTCTAAGTATCTTCTTCAGGGCAATAAGGGACAGGCAATAAATGCTAGCCTAACCAGCAAAAATCACATTCCATGACAAAAAATTTAAAAAAGACACTCAACATCAGTGATCCAAATTGAGAGGTGTCACTTCAAGAATGTCATTTCTCTTGGAAAATACCAAGGTAGTTGCCTCAATAGCTTCCTGTAAAAAAAAACATTCATTTCCCAAAATCTACCAAATTAATGAAGTGTCTGCTAACTTTTTTTCTATATGCTTTAATGCAATGTTTAAAATGGTCCACCAGCCAGAGGAAATCAGCATTTTCTATTCAATATTAAAATGCATCATAGGTTTAAGCTGCCCAATTAAACTAACAATTCAGATTTTTAATGAATTAATACAGTACAATGGATAATTTTAGGGCCTCTAATTGGCCATTACTGTTTAGCTCAGTGCTACATATGCTTATGTAATTCTTGCTGAGATTGTTGTTGTATGTTCATATTATTTGCTTGGTGAATAGCGTGAAGCAGTCGAAGGATTTTCAGTCTGCGTATGAACCTAAAAAACCATGAAGTGAATTTTTCTTCTATGGTGACTATCTCCCTTATACTAGCTGATAGGGTGGTTAGTTTCAAATGGCAGGACGCTTTTTTTTAAAACTTCCACAGTCTAAAAATTGAACCTATATCTAACAGAGCAAATATTCTGATGGATGTCAACCTAAAATTGAGAGTTAGAACTCCAATCTTAACTCACAAGGATTGTCTGGAGCAAGATTCCAATTCAGAAGCGAGAATATTGCAATAAGCCAAAGGTTTGCACCCATGCTACAGTAATGGGATACAGTATAATACTTCATGTTACATAGAACCAGTGAAAGTGTGTGAACAAAACTTTATTTTTTTCCCCCTTACTGAAACCACCTCCATTGCCTATGCTTTGTTTCAGAAAAGGAAGTTATCACGAAGGTTCACATCAAGAAGGAAGCCATCTGTCATTCAAGACAGTGAGAATGTCATAGACTGGTGGTCTAAGTATTACTCTTCTGTGGCAAAGGCCCAAAATGTACGACATGCTTATTGATAAGTTTTTATTTTATAATGCTTGTTCAAATTATGCTCATCAATAAGTTATATAATTGATTGAAACGGTGTCACTGATCAGTAAGAATAACTGTAGTTCACTGATATTGCTCAAAATATATAAAACAAACTAAAGGTCAAGTACAAATGTGTAATAGAAAATGAAAAATAACAAATGCATAGAGTCTTGAAAGCAAAGAGAAAATGATTGTTCTCACTTTTCTTTCTTTGACTCTGTATTTGCTAAAAACAATTTTTTACATTTTCTGGTTTTGACAATAGCCAACCTGAAAAGTGATTCTGTTTCTTTGTTCACAGATGTGTACTGACCTGCTGACTATTTCCAACATTTTCTGTTCCTACTTCAGATTTCCAGGATCTGCACTATTGCTCCTTGTTCTAATCCTGTTGTCTCGTGAATCAGTGTTGCTGGCTGTGCTGTAGTACATTAGTTCCAGTGCTTTTAGGTGCTTGTCTAATGGAACAACTTTCAGCACTCCTGATACAAACCTTCAAGTGCTAGAAGTGTACATCAGAAAATTTACTGTTCATTTACTCTGAAATTTCTGTCCACTCACTTAAATGTATGGAAAGGCTGTGAGACCAAGGCACAGCTTTCTTATATAAATATATTTACCTGCTGGCACTGTGAGAAGCTGGACTGTGAGCTTAGTGAATTATATCGGTGAGGTTGTTTGATGTTTGAGCCAATAAACTGTGGTTCTGCTTGTGAATCCTGGTGAAGTACGGAACCATCAGGATTAGCAGTAGATTTGTGGATTTCATGTATTCTGTGGCCATCCTTTGATTCTTGTCATAACTCCATAGTGACCATTAGTGTAGATCTAATACTATCCCTCAATGGCTTAATGGGTTTATCCAATGATCGGCTGAGCTATGCAACATAGTCTCAAACCAACTGTTCATAATTGTCTACTAATTTCAGTTTAAGGGTGTGATAATGGAGTCATCATTGTTATAATCACACACCAGATGATGTTACCAAATTATTTTGGTTTTATTTTCTTTCTCTCATCATATACACAGTCTGAGGTATCTCCCAGGAAATTACAATTTAGTTTGTAATGCATTTCTCCCCTTTTAAGTGCATCCCATTGAAGCTTTCTTGGCAGTTCATCAGTTGTGACATTCCAGGGTCCCTCTCTCAAGACAGCCACTGAATTTATATCTGCAGTCATTTGTTTGACACTTTTAATGTCAATGTTCTAAAGTGTTTTTTCTTAAAAGCTCAATATGTCCACAGGTGATCCATGGTCATAACATTTCCCTCACATGGTGAATGAAATAAGATCCATTCTCATTTCATTATAAAGTTGAAAAAAAATTAAATATATAAAACATACATTTTTTTTAGCTTCAGTTAATATTATATTTTCAGTTCTCTCTGGGTCTCTAAGATTTGAATGGGACAGTAATGCAAGTATATTTTAACTGGTGTGGTTGATGGAACAGACACCAATGGAATAATTAGGCATTCTGGGTCTTTGACTTGCCCGCAAATGGTAACAGGTTGTGGTCAGTAGAGAGTGCATTCTCTTTGTAACCATTTTGAATATATATCTCAAAGTGTTTCAGAGATCATAATAAACCAAAGTTTTCCTTCTCCTGTAGATAGAATACTGTCTGTGACGATATTGTCTGTTTAGTTTCTAAGAGAAATACCTGATTAATCTCCAAATTCCATATTCATCTTTCTGATGGAGACAGCCTTTACCCTGATATCACTCCTATTGATGGCTGATTGGAGCAAGCATAGGCTCACTTATTGAAATGGCCTCAAACCTCTCAAAAACATTTTGACATTTCTCAGTTCATACTGCTTTTTCTTTTCTGGACTAGGTCTGTCAGCCTTGTGGCCACTTGCTGAAGTTTGGGACAAATGTTTGACAGAGGCCACACATTCCCAAGAATCTCAGAATTTCCCATTTTGTTACGGGAATGGGGAACTGTACTACTGCATCTACCTTTGCAGCAGTGGGCAGTACTCATTCTTGACCCTCTATGGTCCTAGATATGTCACTTGGGCTTTCACGAACTTGCACTTTGTGAAGTTGCCCACCAGGTCAGCTGATTATTTTCCAGTAAAAGGCTTCCAGTTGCTCTAAGTGCATTTCCCAGGTATCCTAGGAGGTTGTCTATATACACCGTGCAATTAGATAAGCCTGACATTATCTGGTCCATCAACATTTGAAAGGTGGTTGGTGCATTTTGACTTGACACTGGTATAACCTGTCTAGAGTTATGAAGGCAGAGCTTTCCTTCACATGCCATCTAGGGAACCTACTAGTACCCCTTCAGTAATCTATCTTGGTAATGTGGGCAGCTTTACCTATCCTATCTACGCAGTCTTCCAGCCTGGGTATTGGCTAGGAGTCAGTTCTGGATACTGTGTTAATTTTTCAGTAATCACTGCAGAGCCTTGTGGAACTATCTGTCTTGGGCACTATCAAAGCTGGTGAGCTCCAGTTACTGCTGCTAGGCTCTATTAGTTAGTGCTCCAGCACATAGTTACTCACTTCCCAAATACAAGTCATCTTTTCTGAGTCCAGCCTATAGAGATGTTACCTTGTGTTACTTTATGCTTTGTTATGTCTGCCCAGTGTTCCGCATCTATGTGAGTGAATCAAGGAGTCTAAACTTGCTAGTATTTCTGTATTGGCTGATATGGTAGTAGGGCATTCAATATGAACCTCACCAAGTCCCCTTCCAATTCACCCTTGTTGTTACTTTCTTCCTCGAGGTCAGTGGCAATGGGACAGACCATGACTTGCTTGAAACCTTGTTGGGGATGGTACTGCTTCATTATGTTCATTTGACAGAACCATTTGTTCTTTTTTTTAACCCAATCTGCACTTTCAATCAGATAATTCACTTCCATGAGCTTCCTCGTTATTCTACATGAGCCACTGAACTGGGCTTTTAAGGGCTGACTGGGTATTACTGACACAGAGTCTCCTGGCTGATGCAGACTAGGGTTTTACATATGCTGACATGTCTCGACTTTGGAATCTCATGAGCTAGTACAATATTTCCATAAGGCACTTCAGTAGTCCCATTGCCTCATGGACCACTGTCTACTCCTCATTTACAGATCTTTTCTGTAAGCGGTTCTCCATTTACTCGTCTGCACCTCATGTTTACAAATGGTATTATTCCAAGACTGCCATAGCTTCAGAGTGAGCAGTCTGAGTTCGTGCTTTTAATAGTGAGTCAGCTTATGGGGCCGTTACCAAGGAAGTTCTATTTATTACCCCTTTTAGGTCTTCTGGACTCCTGAAAAATGTTTCAGATAGTCAGACCACAGGATCTTCTGTTTATTGTACTATCTCAGCCTCCACTGGCTATGCTAGTTTGGCCATGAACTATGTGGGTTCTAGCACTCAGAGTGAGAGAGTCGTTTACCTGTCACACTGGAGTGCAAGTGGGTGGTTCTTCAACTGTGACCTTCAGAGCACACTAGTGCTTGAACCCAGCTCTCACTGTCCAAACAGCCACTGACCACAATTAGTTGTTTAGCTGTAGCAGTTCACTTTTAAGATATGCATTTTGGAAGTTCGATTTATCCATGTATGTTCTGAAGTTACGATCCATGAAAATGACATTATTGGCCTCAATGTTAGGTGTTGAACTGCTTTTTTCCCTCTATTTGTTTTTGTTTCTCAGATATAAATATCAAATGTAACAACCCAAAATCACATGTTTGTCTTTAATGAGCTCAAGTTACACAATTCAACATGAGTACTCCTGGTCAAATCATACGATTCCATTTATGTGATTCTTTATTATTAAGTTCGCAGACCACTACACAATTCAGATATCAAGCTTTATGATTCAAACGAGCCTACAGCAAACAGTGGTTTGTTTTGAACACTTATACTATTTCTCTCTTTTCATTTGCACATTCCATGCATGCTAACATTACAGTACATTAAAAGACACACAGTGCAGATTTTAGAAAACTCTCTGGCAAGAAGGTGTACTCATGTTTATAAATCTCTCCAGTGTTACATTAGCATTGTTACAGATCCTATAAAGTGACCAACAAATATCCCAAAGTCTGAAGACTTGGAGGAATGACTTTTCTACTTTGTCCACATCTCATTTTTTAACAAAGTTTTCAGCAAAATTGAAAGCTGTTCAAATCAATCACGCACTGATCTAACAAACAGCAGGCTACATTGAAATAAACAAATAATAAGAACCTGGATTCCCACACCAAGGAATTAGATTAAGAGAAATCCTCCAATGTTATTGTTCCTCATTTCTTAGAATTCTCACATTAACTTAACTATAAACTTTACTGGTAAAGCTACCACACGTATCATTGCGACATTTGCAAGTTAAGTGCTTGTCTACTCACTTCTAATGTTATGTTTCTGATAAGGCAAAATTGAAAGATACAAGTAGCAATCTGCATGCTGAAGGATACAAAAATGGTAAGTGAACACTGCAATGAAATAAAATGTGTTATTGATGGACATTCTTCTTTAATATAATCCAATGTTCAAACTATCTAATGCTATTAGAAAGCTTTATTCCCATGATAGATTATTAAAGCAGCCCAGTTGTCTAATAAAAGGCAGAACAAATGATTGTATGATATGTATAATCAAAGGACTTTCATCACTGGTAAAAGCACGTTCACCTCAAAATTGGCTGCAGAGAACAATGTGCCTGATTTATGGCATTTGGTTTCCTGGTTATTTGTTTTTATCACCAGAAAAGTGGAAATACCCCAAAGGGACTGTGGGACTTTAGTGTCTAATACTCAAATTTACCCCATAATGTCTGGGGTATGGTTACATAAAATAAATGCTCAGGATCTGATGATGCAGTGGTAGTATACCAACCTCTAGGCCAGAAGGTCTGACCTCCTGCAGAGGTGTGTCATAGCATGTCCAAATAGGTTGATTAAAAATAATTTTAAAATTATTGCACAAAGCCTTCGGTTCTAAGGCGGAGGTTGAAAACAAAATATACTTAGTATACCGTCAGCCATGTTAGTAAATCTCTTACCAGTTACTGATTAGCCCTGAGATGATCTTTTGAGGCAGTGGGTTCTGAGCCAGAACCTTCAGATTCGAATGCCTCTCCAGGACTTAATGGCCAAGGAACATGCATTCATAACAGGGCCAAAGAGGTGCTTGTGTTTTGACCTGCAGTTGCTCCCATTCACTTATCAATGCAGGCAGTGGGAATGAGAGAGATTCCTGATCAGCCATGTGATGGAAAGAATGTTAGCACTAGAGGAGGCCCCATCTGTAGCTTCAGACTACAACCTGCAAATAAAAGTTCATGTTGTCACAGCAACCAGGAGCCCCACCCACTGATTCTCCATGACTGATTTTACTAAGGGTAATTGTGAAGGAAAGAATGTTGGGGCCACCACTTCAGTAACTAGGAGTCTGCATAAAGAGATAAGCTCAATTCTAAATACCAGAAATTGCACCTCAATCCAATGGTGATTGTTGCCATTTGAGGAATCCATGCAGAAAATAAATCCCAAATTAATTGAAGTTGGAACGATTAGCAAATGACTGGAAATATATTGAACTTGTCTGGCTGTTACATGTCTTCACATTCTGCTGAAACTGACAATATTCACAGAAACATACAGCTAAGAAAGAGGCCATTCTGCCCATTGTGTCTATACAAGCTCTTCAAAGCAGTTTCCCAGTTAGTCCGACCCTCCTCTTCTTCCTGCAGAGCCCTTCAAATTTTGCTAGTTTGTACACACAACTTCAAAATATAAGATGTAATAAAACATTCAGTGTTGACAAATTGCAGTAAAAACGGGGTAGTGAAGAAGGCATTTGGTACACTTGCCTTCATTGGTCAGTGCTTTGAGTACAGGAGTTGGGAGGTCACTTTGCAGCTGTACAGGACATCTGGTGGGCCACTTTTGGAATGCTGCATTCAATTCTGGTCTCCCTGCTATCAGAAAGATGTTGTGAAACTTGAAAGAATTCAGAAAAGATTTACAAGGATGTTGCCAGGGTTGGAGGGTTTGACCTATAAAGGAGGGGCTGAATAGGCTGAGGCTATTTTCCCTGGAGCGTTGGAGGCTGAGGGGTGACCTTATCGAAGTTTATAAAATCATGAGGGGCATGGAACAGGTGAATAGTCATAGCCTTTTCCACACAGTAGGGGAGATCAAATCTAAATAGCATAGGTTTAAGGTGAAGGGGGCAAGATTTAAAAGGGGCCTAAGAGATAACTTTTTCCCACAAAGAGGTTGGTGCATGTATGGAATGAACTGTCATAGGAAGTGATGGAGGTTGGTACAATAGCAGCATTTAAAAGACATCTGAATGGGTATACAAATAGGAAGGGTTTAAGGGATATGGGCCAAATGCTGGCAAATGGGACTAGATTAATTTAGGGTTTCTGGTCGGCATGGACGAATTGGACCAAAGGGTCTGGTTCTGTGTTGTGTATCTCTGACTCTGTGTCCTGTCTTTATAAACATGCAGAGGGAATGTCTTCATAGTTTCTTAAGTGAACACCTTAAATGCTATGCGTAAAAATGGAAACAGTTTATGTACCATCCCAGATAATTACTATTGATTTTATATATCATATATTCTTAGAATTCTGGTGAACCGGCATCTTTAAAAAGTCAAATACTAAATGTCGTTTCTTATTGCTGTGGTGCACAACTTGATTCTGTTCATAGGTGGTGCTTATTTAAAATCTCCTTGCCTTTGTTTCTAGTACTTGATGCACATGATACAGCCATCACTTTAGGTGGTGAAGATGATGAGAAGAGAAAAAGAATTGTTGAAAAGACAACATCGCAAAAGCCTGAAATTGCAACTTTTGAGGTAAAGTTAAAAACTGTGTAGCCCACATTATTCATTATAGAAATACATCCATTAAGCGTATTCTTAAGATCATGTCGACTTATTCTTTAGCACAGCCTCATTCCACCCATTCAAATTCCTGAAGGGAAAGATAAATCATGTATTAAATTTACAAAACAAAACTCCCCCAGTGAAATATCGTGATGTCCAATTTAACCATTGCAGAAATCTATGTTTTACCCAGAAGCCCGATGTCATTTATTCCTTTTTGATTTGTATCCTCTGGGTCACACTGCTTTGGTCCCAGCAATGTTATATTTTAGTTCTGATATTTCTTGAAGGATGTGGAGAGAGAGGAGCGGGGAAAATTGGGGACAGCAATATGGGAGAGAGGATTTGTAAACAGGAAACATCAAAGTGATGAAATTAACAACAGAACACATTTGAAAGTTTTTTTGCAGGTTTTCCTTCTAAGGTCCAGCTGGCTGAGCACCTGCTGGGTTTGAAACCCTGTAACAAAGGGACATAGCAGAGGAGAGGAGGGAGGGACTGAACACGGACTGGTAATGGGTGAACATTTCAGAGTTTGGTGTGGATCAAGGGGCGGGGTGGAGATTTGGAGAAGGTGGCAATTTGGGGAGGAAATAGTGAAGATTGGGGATGGTCGAGATTGGAAGATGGGTAGAGCAAATAGAGGCCAGGGATGAAGATTGGGGCTTGAAGGGAATGGGAGGGGAAGAGGTGGTGGTGAAATTAGGGTATTGATGGGAATCACAAACTGATAGCAATCAATGGTTGGGGCGGGTAGGCTTTGGAGGGTGCTCTTAGAGATTGTGGAGGACAGGTGCAGATCATGGAAGGTGGGCTTTGGCTGAGGGAGAGACCATAGCCCTGAGGTTGTGATTTTGATAATTATAGAGTCTGTGAAGGGATATACTTGTTGGATTGCGAGAGAATAGCCCTACACAAGCAGTACAGTAAATGCATTTACTTAAGGATCCATAAATTCTTCATAACGTGTGCTTCAGCCTCCAGAATCTTCTTTATCGTGTGGCTCTGAAGTTTCACTATTTCCTCAATGTCCTTTCCACAGAAAGGAGAGTCAAAGTTACATGCATTATTCCAGTTGGGGCTTCAGCAATCGGATATATATGGTTAAAATAACTTGATTGACTTTCAATGAAACGTTAAGTTGTATCCCAGTCATAACTGCAAATTGTAGAATTCAAATTGGGCATAATCCTTCTAAACACTGTCTGCAAACCTCGTGTAATATCTTATTGTTCATTTATAGTTCGCATCTCTGGCTCATTCTCCTGAAGCATTCAATTTACCAAGTGTAAATTACATTAATCCGGTTGTATCATTGGAGCAGAAATTAAAATTTTTATGAATTGTTTCCATCAGGTGTACGACAAAGAGTTAGAAGATGAATTTGAACACTTCAGCGATTGGGTGCAAACATTTGATCTCTTTCGCGGCAAAGCAAGTGAAGATGACTCCAGTCTAGATGATGAAAGAATTGTTGGAAAATTTAAGGTGTGTTTTAATGTTTATCTTTTAAAAATTTGCAATAGATTTTAAGGTACAGAGATTCATGCAACATGATCAGACACTGAGACTGGAGTGCATACTTGGTAGAGAAATAAAAATTCATGGGGGTGGGGGGAGAGGAGTGAATCTAGGCTCGGAGACCGTTTTGTAGAGCACCTGCGCTCTGTTCATGGCAAACGACAACATCTTCCAGTCACGAACCATTTTCACTCCCCCTCCCACTCCCTGGGTAACATGTCCATCCTGGGCCTCCTCCAGTGTCACAATGATGCCAAAAACTGGAGGAGCAGCACCTCATATTCTGCCTTGGGAGCCTACAACCCAATCGTCTCAATGTGGACTTGACCAGTTTCAAACTCTCCCCACCCCCGGCCTCATCCCATGACCAACCTTCTCTCTTATCCCCGCCTCCTTGACCTGACACAACCTGTCCATCTTCTCTCCCACCTATCCGCTCCTCTCACCTCACTGACCAATCCCCACCACTGCCTACGTGCACTCACCTATCACTCTTCCATCTGCCTTCCCCAGCCCCACCCCTCCTCTCTCTACTTATTTTGGAGCTCCCTTCCCCCTCCCCATTTCTGAAGAAGGATCCTGACCCAAAATGTCAAATTTCCTGCTCCTCTGATGCTGCCTGGCCTGCTGTGTTCCTCCAGCTCCACACTGAGTTATCTCGGAGTGAATCTAGTGTTCTCCATGTTGTGATCAAAGTAAGTTCCATCTTCCTCCTGTCTTAACACCAGCAATCTATTCTCTGCTTCTGAGAAAAATATTTTGTCCTGTCAATTCTCTGTCCCAAAAACCTTTGACATCTGTTCCAGAGTTATTCATGGCCCTCCATTACTTTTCACATTTGATCATTCTCCATGCCCACACTATAGCAAGCTATGAAATCCTGGGCTGGACATCATTACCAAACATGCTTCAAAAATGTAATGTAGTGAGATCATATTGACATCGCAGAGAGAGACAATTCTGTCCTCATACAATATTTTACAATGTACACTAAGTAGATAGGGAGACCATTCCAAGAACCATACAGGTTCAGTCCTAGTTCCGTGTGTATCCCCCACCTCAGCCAACCTCACTGATAATGTATTCTATTCACTAGCAGGTGAGGACTTGCTCCTTATTACACAGATTGTTTTGGGAAGGGGTCTCTATATTTTTTCACTCTTTCACTAGCCCATGTTTTTGAGACCAAGGGCAAGATTGAGGATTACATTGGGACCCAAAGATGGGGTGAAATAGGGATCTCACAATCCCGCAGTGTGTTGGAAGCAGTGACCCCATTATAGAAAAGTTGATTGAAAAATTAACTGCCAAAGTATGAATTGGATTAGTGGTAACCAACAGCATCAAGTACCTGGTGACCTTTGCAATGCCAAACATGAGATAGCCTTTATCACAAACTACAAAAACCATTTCTTTCCAAGGCAATATATCAAAAAAATTTACTTCCTAATGCCAATCTCACAATGGAACAAGCTGCCAAGAAAATAGTCCCATGCCTATTACTGGAAATATTCAGGTTTAGATCATTTTCAGTTACCAGCTTATCACCAAGGCAACCATCTCAGCATGTCACGACTAATTTAGCTGGTGCTGTCTGTATCAATTTCAGCCAAATATTGATATTAGTCTCTGATGTTAAAACTATTAAAGCAGAAGCTTAGAAAACTGGCAGTACCTGCATAGTCAGATGGGGCACCCACCAGCCACTAAAGAATGACAGCCAGGCTCTCAAAGTGGGAGGGCTAGTAGAATGCAATTTTATCTCGAAAGAAGCTGCAACCTGCTGCCTCAGGTAACAGAGACAGGGAGTGTCTCCATCCCAAGGCACACTCAGCACCTTTATTGAATTTGTGTTGAAAAATGGCCACAGCTGCTGGGGCACATCATTGTGGCAAAGCAACCTATGGGAGTAACTGCCTCAGGCAGCTATGGGAAGTCAAGTGGAAAATTCCTGTCAGTCTCTGATAATTGGCCTTTAAAATCGCTCATTTCGCTTCCTGTTCACCCTGACTGGGAAAGTGGCCCATGGATGCGATAGTACCAACAAAGCTCAATCCTACTAGTGGTGTGATCTTAGCTGCCTGCCTACCTTCAGTCTTGTCCTCATATTGGGGTGAAAATTCTGGAGAGAATAGTACCCCAACAGAATTTTGCTGAAATCGAAGACCCCAGGTATGGGAATCCAAAACTAGAGGGCATAAGTTTAAGGTGAGAGGGGAAAGATTTAAAATGGACCTAAGGGGCAACTTTTTCACACAGAGGATGGTGCGTGTATGGAATGAACTGCCAGAGGAAGTGATGGAGGCAGGTACGGTTACAACATTTAAAGGACACTTCGATGGGTATATGGGATGGGAAAGGTTTAAAGGGATATGGGCCAGATGCTGGCAAATGGGACTAGATTAATTTAGGATAGCTGTTTGGCATGGACGGGTTGGACTGAAGAGTATGTTTCTGTGCTTACGTCTCCCTGACTCAATCTATGATTCAATTAAAGGTAGGACTTCCGAGAGGATTGGCTCTGCATCAAACCATGTAGTGCATTACGTTATAAATGAAACGTTTTGATAAATGTTCAGTAATAGCACCTCTCTCGTAGCTTTACTTACACTGAGGTGGAGGATAAACTGCTTTTTTAATGCAAGATGTAACAGAAATGTTGTGGGAGTTGAGTATCACTTACCATAAGAATACATTACTTTTATTTACAAATACCATGAGATCTAAAGATCACCATTAATCACCAGTAACATACAAGCCACACAAATGCCAGGCAATGACTATTCTAATAAGAAACAATCTAACCACCTTGACTTTGAATGGTGTTACCATCACTGGATTCCCCACTATCAACATTCTGGGGGTTACCGTTGACCAGAAACTCAATTGGACTCTCCATAGAAACATAATGGCTACAACAGCAGGCTAGAGGCTGGGAATACAGCGCCGAGTAACTTCCCAATCCCTGTCCACCATCTACAAACCACAAGTCAGGAATGTGATGGAATACTCCCCACTTGCCTGCATAAGTATAGTGCCAACACAACTCCAGAAGTTTGACACAATTCAGGACAAAGCAGCCTGCTTAATTGGCACCACATTCACAAGCATCCACTCCTTCCACCACTGATGCTCAGTAGCACTAATAGAACTAGCTACAAGACGCACTACAGAAATTCACCAAAGATCCTCAGACAGTGCCTTCCAAATTCTTGACCGCTTCTTTCTGGCAGGAAAAGGACAGAAGATACAAGGGAACACCAGCACCTGTATGTTCCCCTACAAGTCACTCACCATCCTGACTTGGAAATATACCACTGTTCTTTCACTGTTACTGGGTCAAAATCCCGGAATTCGCTCCCTAGTGACATTGTGGGTCAAACTACAGCAGGTGGACTGCAGCAGTTCAAGAAGGCAGCTCACCACCACCTTCAAAAGGGCAATTAGGGACAGCAATAAGTGCATGACCAAGCCAGTGACACCTATGTCCCACGAGTGAATAAAATAAATTCTAATTTAATGAATGCGATATGAAGTATAGTCTCATAAGAGATAGTAGGAACTGCAGATGCTGGAGAATCTGAGATAACAAGGTGTAGAGCTGGATGAACACAGCAGGCCAAGCAGCATCAGAGGAGCAGGAAGGCTGACGTTTTGGGCCTAGACCCTTCTTCAGAAATTTTCTGAAGAAAGGTCTAGACCCGAAACGTCAGCTTTCCTCCTCCTCCGATGCTGCTTGGCCTGCTGTGTTCATCCAGCTCTACACCTTGTTATCTCTTATAGTT